AATAATATCTAAATTCCTTCCTATTAAACTCCATCGATATATTACCTAGAGTTATAAATAGACGATAACTTTTCAATCTATTATCAAATAATATTACATATTCTTCTACGAGTATATCCTCCCATATCAAATTATTAATTATATAATCCAAAGAATTCAAGTTTTATAAAAGCAAAATTGTTCGAATTTATCGATCATATCGATTGACATCCGTAAAATATCAATACTGATCTTTTCATCTAGTTATATTTCTCGCATAAATCAAATAAGATCATTAATATATAATATAAATAATGAACCCCAATAAATACGCATACGACACACAAGACACCACACAACATACACATCACACACACAAGACACACAACATACATCAACATACAAAATACACACGCAACACACAACATGCAACACACCACACGCACACAACGCATACAACAGACGCAACACACAAAACACACACACAACACACACACACACGCACACATCACGCACAACACACACCACACAGCACAGCACACACAACACGCGCACACTCATCTGGAAGGCTCTAGAGGGATCATCAACTCGTTTATCACTATCCACAGATAACTCATGTGGGGTTCTCCGGTCCTTGAAATATACATTCAAGATCACATATAAGTCCAATATTTTCGATACGACCAGATCTAAGACAATTATTGGAATTCTGCAATCGAGAAAGTAGATTTTCCTAAGCCCTATGCTATTTGAACAACATTTTCTCGCCCAAAATATATCCGATCACATAAACTAGGAATAGTACGAAATATCACTAATAACTCCTTACCGAAGTTTCCTCTTTATTTCCATTGATACGAATATTAACTAGATTTTCAATCGAGATCTAAATTTCAAGTTTTTTGTAGAAAAGTATAAGCTTCCATTCAACTTGTATAAATATATGATATTCAGTTTCTTAGACCACAGAACATTGTATCAAGGGTCATAAGCACACCTTCCTTCCTGTCCGACTAACCTTGCTACAGTGGGCAAGTTTCTGAAACTGGTTCCGAAATGCTAGATGTGGAGACGGCGAAATAGTGATCATTGTAGGCCATATCAATATGCAATTCCCGTTCCAAGAAACATTCGAGCCTTTTTCAGTTGAAGGATATGCCTTTCCACGATACCTGCACAGGACGAGGATGGAATCATGCTTCATGCACATACTCTCAGTCGTGCCGCGTGCTGCCTTGACGAGCGTCTTCTGTGCGCTGCTAGTAATGCCTAAACTGCAATTCTCACCGTAAGGCCTCCTTAAATCGAAGGCCGTATCCCTAACCCCAATGCCGACGTCTTTCTTGCTACTGGCCTCAGTCTAGCAAGTCTACGACCTGCAAACATCTTGCCCGAAGCCGACATGCAGCACCGATACCCAAGCCGCAATGCCGATGCCTAAACCCCAAACCCTAGTAGACAGAAGCTGCGCCCTGAGCAAACCCTGGGCCCAGAACCACCGCACAAGGCCTTGGGAAGGGGCTCCGAGAGCTTCAAAGCCTCGGCCTTCTTGGCGATATGCTGGTTTACCTGTCGCACGGCACGGGCTGATATGAGAAGTGCACAAGGATGCTACTGTATGTACTGTTGGTAGAAGACCCGTGGCGTTAGAATGCTAGGCTTGTCTTTTACCTCCTCCTCCGGAAAGGGTTTAAGGCAGCAGGGTCAAAACAACGATAAGGAGTAGAAGAAAGGGTTCTACATACTGTTTGCTAGGAGAGTAACAGATTTCAGCGTTCAGGGCTCAGGGTACTGCTGTTTGGTTGAAGCCACAGCAGCAAGGAGAAGTCTGAAAACTCAAGACACCCGCGCATTGCAAAACAAGGCAACCTTCTACCGCGAGTCTGCAAAAGAAGCAGTCTTAAGGAATACGAAACTTACTAGAGCAGGTGCTTCTTCGAGTGATGACTACCGTGATTCGGGCTTTAGTAACTGTAGCCAGCTTACGAAACTCCGTGATCCTTCAAGCAGTCTTCGCGGTGGTCCGGCCTCTGCAAGCTCTGCGTCTAGAAGGGCTGGGAGCGGACACGCGTAAAACCTTGCTTCAGAGATCCCAATATTCCTTAATTAAGGAATATACCTACCTTAAATTATAATGGTCTTAACTATGGCGTTGGGTCTGTTCCTTTAATTAAGGGCACCTCTAAGCTGCCCTAAACCTTGAAGACCAATAAAAGTACAAATCAAAGTAATAATAATAATGATAATAATAACTACTAAGAATCGTCATAATGATAATAATCTTAATAACCATCATAATAAACGTAATAATAAATAATACCAATACTCTTCATCATGATAAAATCTTAATGACAATCATACAAAGTCAAGCCCAGGAACGAGCTCAGGGCTTCCTCCCAGATGCCAGCGTCCCGGCGTCCCTGTCGTCGTGCGGAAGCCATATCTTTCTGATTTGGGGGGGTTTCCGAAAATAGGGGACCCTCATATAGTACCCTAAATAGTAGGATCCCGAGTACAAGGACACCCCAAGAAGCTTTCTGATTCTTCCTCCGTGTGCAGAAGCCTCCACGATGCGAGCTGCTCCCACGACAGTTGAGGCCGGAACGGATGCCTTTCTTCAAGCTATGATTTCTGCTGCTTGCGGATGTTTGTGTGGCCTTGTGATTTTGTACCGTGCTCCTCCTCGTCTACAGCCCAGCATCTTAAATTGCAAAGCTTGGAAATGTTTGGAACATATGGCGTCGTCTACGGCCGGCATCTTAAACTGTCAAGCTTGAAACATAGTGTTTTCAAGCTTCCCAAAACCCTGGGGGCTCTGTACCCTAGCCCAACGAAGGCTAACCTTTTAATCATAATAGGATTATATAAGCCCCCACAGGTTAAAGGTTACCTACTTGGCCCCTAAGAAACAGGCTTAGCTAGGAAGCCCTGAACCCCAAAAATACTAAACCCCTGAACCCTAAACCCCTAAACCCAAAACAGGCCTTGAGCAGCAGCGTGACCAGCCCCTCGAGGTTCAGCTTCTGTCAGCTTTCGCGTTTCGCGGCTGCATCAGGTGAGTCGGCGAACGACATTTCTTGACAGATCTACTTATAATATGGAAAAATACTTCCTAACAGTCCTCACATAGGTATATGTATGTATATGTATGTATATGTATATATATATATATATACATATGTATATGTGTGTGTGTCCATAGTGCCACATAGCCCCCACAATGTCCTCGCCGTCTTCCACGACTTCATCCTCCTCATCGATGTCGGTGCCTGTCGAAGCCAGAAACCGGGTTTGTTGAAACGTGACAGTGGAATACGTCCATTTCGCATCGGAGCAGTTGCGGTTGCATGCCACGACCCTGGTCATAACAATCAGTATGACTCTTACCAAAAAACACAGAAAGGTTTCTAAGAATAAACATGGGTGGTTGTCAAAATTATGATCCCTTTTTGGGTCTCTATTATAATACGGGCACCTATTATTTAGGGTACCCCAAACGGGATCCTGATTTGACAACCACCCACATAGGTCAAAACATGCACTCGAGGTCTGCCGGTTGGACACCCCTCTAGCTGTTAGCCGATGGGCCTTCTTGCGCGTCATCGTCCACCACCTCTGCGCATGCGGAGTGAATGCTGTAAAAGGCGGAAATGAGAACCCTCTTCGTTTGGGGATCATGAGGGAGCGACGAAGGAGGACTACGGATGTTGAGTGACCATGCGAGCCTCGGTAACAGCTGCTGCACTTGTGGCACACCTCAGACAGGAAGCTGGCAGTACCAAAACATCACGCGCGCGCGTGGGCAACCCGAAGCACAGTAAGTTGCGAGACAGTCTTGCGGCAATTGGCAGGATTTCACTGAAAGCTGCTAGGACCCAAGGCGAAGGCTGCAACGCTGGTGATGAAGAGGAGGCCTGCCGAAACTACGAGGACGGAGCTCGCCGCAGAGACTGTTTAAACTTGATGCGTTGCAACGGGTCTGCGGGATGCCTTTACATTCAAGCCGAATGCTCCCCCCTGTGGCAATGTGCAGGGCCCAGAAGAAAGCTCATGCTCTTAGGAGCGCCCCGGGCTTCCAGGTGTAAGGACGGCTTATGGGCCCCCAACCGACACTGCCCTCGCAGTGAGAAGGCGGCTGTGCCTAGAAGTTTTGAAGTCCATCACATCGACAGGCTCTGGCAACGTGTGCCACGCCAGTTCGGGTCACAAACTCGCCAAACCGAGCCTGTTCTGGAGCGAGGTCCAGCACAGGTGCCTGAAACCAAGGTTTGCGCCCAGCGAAGACTGTTTTTTTTTGCAGGGCACGTTGCTTTCAGGCCTAAAGCCCTAAAAATCAGTTGGGGGTTTGGCTTTCGTCCAGCCGACTTGGAGCTCGGAGGGCTGCTAGCACAGCTTGTTGGAGACTCAAGGAGCAAAGAAGGAAAAATTGATGCAGCTAGGAAGGATAACCGCAGCGATACTACTTTTAACCTTAACCGTATTGACCAGCACCAGCATCAGCAGCAACGCCAACGGGAACGACAACAACAACATCATCAACATCAAGAACAATAAAGGAACAATAACAAGAGAAGCAACAAGTTGAAACAAAACAAACAACAAGGCTACTAAAGATAACAATAAATATCAACGTTGACAGTTATAACAGTCAATACAATAGCAATAACGAACATGACAGTACTGACAGTGATAACAATGACAATCATAACAGGAATAACACCAACATTCATAGTATTGGAAAACAATAATAACCAATACTGATAACGGTCATAGAAACAACATCATACTCATCATGGTAATAATGATAACCAGAACTAGAATAAGAGTAATGCGATAACAAGTCGTTTAACACGTGCTGATAGTATCTAGGCAAGACCAGTCAATTTCACTGAAAACTCCTGCTTCGTTGGAGTGTTGGCACTGCGTAGAATGTTGAAATGGACGTTTTAGAATGAGCTTTTGCCAAGGTTTCGTATGGTTTAGAGTTTAAGGTTTCATTGCAGAGAGGGAGCTTTACTGCAATATGCCTTCATGCATCTTCATGCGCCCTGCTTTTTCGGTCTCCGCGTCCGCAGATTCGGGCAAGCTGTGCTGGCAGCGTTGTACGTAGACGCGAAGAACCGGACTTCCTTTGGGCCCGGCGCGGCCATAGCTGGGAATGGAACGGACCTGCTTTCCGCTGATGCTCCAGACGGTCGCGAGTGCTTTCATCACCACTCCAACGGAATACTTGTTGTCTGAGTAGCAATGGACTGACACAGCGCCCTTTGCCTTGACCTCTGCAATGACAGCATAGGCCAACTTCCCTACTGGTGTTTGTCCACTGACAAACAACACGTGGGTTTCGCTAAAGCCTATGCCGTTAAACTCCTGCCAACTAGGACCGCGAACCGCTTCAACTTGCAAAGTGCGCGCGGCAGAGGACGTGGAGGTTTTATCAGGTGAGTCGGCTGAAGCCCAGGCTACGCGGAACTCTGCCACGTGTCCCTTCAGCAGGCAGAATGACTGGATGGCATGCATGACAGCATCAGGTCCGCGACAATTCATCTTCACTTCATTGCCCATCTGCAGCCTATCCTGCACAGTTGCGATGAAACGACGTGCAGTTTCCTGGTCGGCATTTGCAGGCGGATACGCATGGAAGACTTTGACACCTGCAGCGATCTCAGGAGCAGCTTCTTGGTCAGCGAAGGTCAGGTATGCAAACAAACGGCTCGTAGGATCGTCCATTGGCGTGACAATGTTGCACACCGAATTCAAGCTTTTGAAGGGATGTAAGCGAGGTGCAGATGCCAAGCCTTTGGCAAGAACATGCACTGCCGCTTCGTCAGACAGAGTGGCGTACACTCGCACTGCACGTGATTCCGAGGAGCTGTCTCTCTGCAAAACGCTGGCAATCGATCGGGCCAAGTCCAACGGCCGCGTCTCCGCCTGGACGGGGATGCTCTTTGTGTTCATGATCCGGTTTTGTAGGTACTCCTCCCACGGCAAGAAACACTTGGCAATGAAATGTAAACAGCGTTCCTTCTCAGACTCCTTTTGCTGCCACCTCACCTGGAACTGAACAGCTTTCGAGCAGGTGGCGAAAGCTTGTATCGTGTTTTGAGATGCTGGAGCACCCCAGGCTGATAGCTCCACCCTCTCACCTTTCTCGAGCGTTCGGTGCAAGTGACTGCGAAACGTCGAAACCTTTTCCGCGGATGCGCCGCCACCCGGGGGCCGCATCTGGACGAGATGCCTCGAAGTCCCCTGTATGCGAGCCGCCCAAAGGTCGTAGCTTTGCGACCGCAGCATGGCTACTATAGGGGCCTTAATGATGAGAATAGGGTTCCTATAATGAGGGTCCTACAAGGGCCTCGGGCCTGAATGATTAGAATACGGTTTGGGTGTAAATTATACTACAGTCATAATAAGGAACCCTCAAAGGAGTATAGGTAAATGTTGCGGCACTGCGACAGATGCGGCCAGGCTGAGACACACGGAGACCTTCAAAGCAATCGCAAACGACATGTTCTCCTAGTGACTCTCACCCTGGGGCCACACGGCAGCGTCCCAAGCAAGTCTCAATGAGATTATTCATGCACGCTGCGACAGACCTGGCTGCCAGCGGCTCTCTATTTCAAGCAGTCTCCACAAGGAGCACTGTGTTACTTACTTGTGTTGAGAATTTGCGAGCTTCTGGTGTTGTTGTTGGGGGCAGTCTCGAAAACTCGTTCCGCACCAGACTCTGTTGCAACTGGGCACAAGCAGTCCGGCAGGACTCTTCTAAAAATCTCACAATCCAGCTGCCTCCTCCACCGGCCATCCCGGGATGTCAGAGACCTCCACCTTCTTGGAAACCTTTGCCTGGCAGAGTTTTTAGGGTTTAGTGTTTGGGGATTTGGGTTTAGGGAAGCCGCGAGAGACAAGCTGGAGCTGACGCCCTGAAAACACCCACATCACAAGGAGCCGTCAACCTTAATTCAGGGGCCTTCAGATCTCTGATCGCCTTCTACAGTGAAACTACAATGGGGGTTTCCGAAAATGGGGGACCGTTATAAAGTACCCTAAACAGTACGACCCCTATTATAAGGACCCCCCCAAAAAATGGTACCCCTAATTTTCGGAAACCCCCATTAGGAACGCGAAGGAACAGCGTGCCTAACTACGGTTGTTGATATAAATCCTGCAAATTTCCATAATAAAGAATATCCCATAGTTCCCCTAGTTTAGGGTCACTAAGTTAATGCAGGATTTATATCATCAACCGTTTTTAGACTATCCAGGCTTCTCGCAGAACGTGCCTGGTTGAGGATCTCGGCCTTCCAGTATCTCCTGGTCAGCTTCCTGTGCGAGGATCATGTGAAGAGTAATCTAAGGGCCTTAATGACCAGAATAGGGGTTCCTTTAAAGGGATCCATTAAAAGGCAAAGGGTTCTATAAGGGATCTATCGTGCGAGGATCATGTGAACAGTAGTCTCCTTCTGGTCCGTAAGATGATTACAGACTTTTATAGATATGGGGGTTTCCGAACATTGGGGACCCTTTCATCGTACCCTAAACAGTGGGATCTTCATAATAAGGACCCAAAATAAGGGACTCCCGACTTTTTGGAGACTTCCATATCGCAGTACGGTGAAAGTAATATGATATGCACTAAGAGCCGTCCTGAACCCTAAACCCTATGAGCCTACTGAGAACCCAGAGAACCCAATATCCCTTACTTAAGGAATATACCTTAAAATCATATCAGGGATCCTACTATAACTTAAGGCATATTCCTTAATTGAGGGGTCTTGGGATCTACTACGAAGCAGACACAATGGGAGTTTCTGAAAAAAGGGGACCCTAACATAGAATTCTAAATAGTAGGATCCCCATTATAAGGACTGCAAAATAAGGTACCCCTGCTTTTCGGAAACTCTAAACCCTAAACCCTTTGTAGAACCCTTATAGATTCCTTTAAGGAAGCCTTAAAGGTACCCCGAATTGTCGGAAACTCCCAAGTAACTTCGAGGCCGCTGCCGTGGCGGGGAGGGCGCCGGAGCATCGGAGCGACGTGGGCTTCGGCGCAAGTCCTGAAGGCTTGGCTCTGTGTCTTAATACATATATATATATAATGTATATATACGGAATTTAAAAAATTTAAAGAATTTAAAAAGCCGTATGTACATATATATATATATATAATGTATAGATTATAAGGAATTAAGAATTTAAAGGATTTAAAAAGCCGTCTCGGACGGCCAAGAAAAAGGGAGAGGAGATGGAGATTCATAATAGGGGCCTTAATAATTAGAATAGGGTTCCTTTTAAAGGGTCCTAAACAAGGGATCCACAGGAGTTACTATAAGGGTATATATAGTATATAGGGGCCTGAATAATTAGAATAGGGTTTGGGGATACATTACACTACAATTATAACAAGGAACCCCCAAGATAGTATTGGTAATTATTTAGGCCCCTGTATTAGGATTCCTTAGGATCGAAGTGCCACATGTGCCATCCCAAGAAATTGTTTCCATGGCCAAAGCACGTCAACAAGTCAGAAGTAACTCTGGTCAGGCATCGTCGGAGGCAAACAAAAGAACTCGGCACCACCGCGAAAACAGGAGGATTGATATGTGTTGCAAACAGGCGTCGATGGGAGGTTGTGCCGCCTCAAGCGACATAGCTTTGCCATTTTGCCGCCCTGTGGCCTGCAGCGACGTGTTTAACACAGTGCCCTCTTTGCTTGGAGTTGCCTCAGACACCCTTCAGTGGCAGAAGCCCGCAAATGACTCCCGTGTACCATACCCAAGATAGTGCCCAAGCAAAACAATTGCTACCTGATGCCAGCTCATGACACACACACGCGCGCACACAGAGAAAACTCGCTTTGATCCGTGGTGGTTGCGTCCTTGCGAAGCGTTGCGCCATCAGCATGGTGCTAGACCCAGCAACAGAAGGTTGACCGCGATCATGCGTGATTTAGCCGGTCTTCATCTACGCAGAAGGCTCACAAAAAACCCTTTGCTGAAGCGATGTCAGCCGATGTACAAGGCCAACGGGGAAGAAGCAGAATGCACATCGCCCAACTTCTGTAAGCTGTCCATGGATCACAGGGATCTGAGGAAGCCTAAGGCCTAAGGAGCATCTGACCTGGCAAACACCTAACAATCCAAATCTGATGCGTGAGGAACACCCACGATATGCAGCCAGGCAGGCAGAAATTCATGACGGAGACAGGGAGGGCTTGGAGACTCATGAGCAATTGTTCAAATGTCTCTGCCGGCCATGGAGTTGCTTTTGCTGCTTCTTTGCACAGTTTCCCTAAAGGGTTTAAGGGTTTTAAGGCCGCGGATCCTTTTGCATCAAGGCTTGTTGCGACTGCCGGGGGTACCCTGAAAAAGGAAACAGGGGTCCTAACCCCCTGAGCCCTTTTGCATCCCCTAACCCTGGACCCCTTTTTTGAAGCCGTACTGAGGCCGATGCGTGTGACGGGACAAAGAGCGTTCTCCGAACCCTGAACCCCTACACCCCTAAACCCTTTAGGCACAGACTTGTACATGCCCGCCTAAACCCTAAACACCCTTTTGCAACTGGCCTGGTGCGCTCCGCCGGGCGAGAGTGCGCTCAGGCCAAGCATCATCCCCCCTAAACGTATCTTTTTTTTTGCATCCGGTCTGCAGTGACTCTAGCGGGTCCGCCCTCAAGCTGTTCACCCTAAACATGCCTGAACCCTAGACCTCAAAGTCACCGCGGCCTCGGAAAGTCTGGTGGAGGCCCCGGAGGGACCGGCGAGGATCCGGCGGAAGGCGAAGGGCTTAGCCTAGGGGATCCGTTCAGGTGTTTTGGGTTCAGGGCTCTTTACTTAGGGCTCTTTAAGGAACTCCTCCATCCTAAACTAGTTTTGGGTTTAGGGCTCTTTAAGGAGATCCTTTTTACACCTTATGCCAGGAACGGTGAAGGAAATCCTAAACCCCAAACTAAGTTTGGGTTTAGGGCACTTTAAGGAAACCCTAAATCCTAAATGATGTGCTTGGGGACAGGAAGCATGAACCCCTCCCTGCCTGAGTTTGGCCTGCATATGCATATGCCATACTATGCGAGGAAGAGATGTAATAAGGACCCCTAGGTATACCCTTAATATAGCGATCATATACCTGTCAAGAAAAGCTCATTATAGGGTAGGGGTCCCCATTAAGGGGTCAGGTTTTCTCAATGGAGCCTAGCACGCTGATAGCCGAAGCAGGCTTGCGACTGTGAGCCGCCTTAACATGAAGTTCTTTCTGGAGCGGATGCAGTACGAAAGGTGCAGGGCAAGGGTCACACCACGTGAGCACAATGTGATACAGTATCAAATATATACTGCATTCTACTGTACGGTATAATGTATGACTTAAAAACATCATGTATGATATTATACATATAATGAGTAATGAATAATACACAACATTATATATGAGATCCTTGCGGCCCGGGAGCTTCACTTTGTGGCTTCCGCACGGCGTAGGCCCAGGAGACGCCCCCGCCGGAACCAGGCTGAGCGGCCGAATTCATTTTCTTTGGGTTTAGGGTTTAACTCGGACATGCCTGACGAGGTCTCTGGTGCTGTGTGCTTTGACGGTCGGTGCTAGTGAGGCTGGCTTCCAGTTCGGAACCACGAGGAGCAAGGTTTAGGGTTGCAGTCTTCAAGTGGAACCGGCCTCAACCTCGCCGCATCATGTGTGCCCTACGCAGGATCATTCCACGTGCAGGCGTTGGGATTGGGTAGAGGTGCGTCAATCTGCATGGAGAATATAAGCAGCTCACAAACCACACCAATCCGCATCTCTCTAAAGTTTACCCTCTCTGCGGCCCTCCCGTTTTGCTGCCCGGCCTTGTGTGCGAAAAATTCCACAGCCGTCCCCAACGAAAGGAGCTCTGCGATAACACCACGCTGGAGATGCCTGACTGGGATGAAGGAGTTCACGGCACTTGCTCTTAGTAAGACGCGCTGAATCGCAGGTGTCCAACAGTCTGAGCTAAGAGTTCAAGACTGACATGCAGGCTGACATTCTGTGTCTTCCACGCGTCTGGAACTCTGGTGGTGCAGACCTTCCAAGTTTTCTGGATCCCAGGAGAAGGATCATGCCCGGGCTTAGGAATAGACGTGCGCGCGAAGAAGTGCTCCTGCTGGTCAGGCCCGCCTGATCTGATCACTGCCGGGCTACCCGTAAAGCTCAAGGCATGGATACGACTGCAGCCGATCTTTGAATCTTTCGCCCCCCCGGTGAAGGGTTGCCAAGCGTAGATTGGCATGCATTGACAAAAGCCTTTCCAAAAGGTCATCCGCGGCCCAATGCCAACTGAGCCTCCTGCGTATGAGGCCTTATCAGGCAGGCACGCAAGACACGAGGGGTCGGCAAGGGCGGAGGCTGCCAACTTAAGATCACGTGAGGTTCCAAGCATGTCAAGCAATCATATTGTACGTCCATCTCTGCATTTTGCCTGTGAGCTGTAGCTCGAAGAGCTGACATCTTGCCCTCCGGACTGACTCATGCTAACCAAAGTGAACTGCCAACATGTAGAGAGAAGATGGGGATACTTTGGGATACTTAAGCAGACTTAAGCCGCAATGGTCTCAGCTGGTCCATGACCCCCGAATCCAGATAGAACTGTCACCCCATTCAGCTGGTCGTCGCTCTATGCTTTGCTGCTGCCCGCGAGAGATAAGGGCATATACTAGGGTTTTAGGATGAATCAACCAGACCTTCGACGAACAAAAATCGCCCCTCCCATCAGTCAAAGCCCAGTCGCCGTAAGCGAACGGTACGCGATTTAGCGAGGCGTCGAAGCCCTGGAATGTCCCGGCCAGGCGCGTGCCGCCGTCCTTTGCGATCTTAGCTAGATAAAACGCCATATATGATTCTGCCGTATGCCATGTACATGTACACATGCATGCGTGCAGACATACCCATGCCTGCACAATAACAACAAATGTCCATGTTACATCTTGTCTTAAACGTAACAGAAAAACGATGGACGGAAATCAAACACTTTGAAAAAGGCTTTCTTGAGCGTGACAGTTTCTTGTGCTGGCGCTCACATATATGGTGCCGCATCGCCGCGTCAATGGCTGCCCCGTACCCCGCTCCCCACCGCGCCCCCTCCCGTGGTGCGGTCTGCAGGGTCGGTTTGCGATCTGGGTATTCCGGCGACATCTCAAGAATGCCACCCTATAACTGCTGCTGTTTCCGGATCTTGCTATTGCGACTACGGCGTCTCAACAGCGCCAGGAGCCATAGGGATGGGTGGTCTAGCGTTTCGATTCTCGCACCGTTGCACATGTCGAGAGGACATTCCGAACGAAGAACAAATCCACAAACCGTGAGGGAGGCAAGCCCGAACCACACACGGGCATTGCCCCTAACCCAGACCCGAATCCAGCCATCTATATACACACCCACAGCGGGGGAAGGGGGGTATCACAGCAGCGGGTCGGGCGAGAAAACGCTCAAACACGGGGCATTAATTCCTCTGGGCTGGGGAACCGTACCATTGGTGTGTGCGGGTTGGGGTCGTCCGTTTTCGGGGCAGGGCAGTGCTGTTTCTGTTGTCGTCGTTGTGGTTGAATTTTGGGGGCAGGGGACTTGGCTAAGCTGCATCATATTTAGTGCAAGACAGTACAACACAATATTGTATAATTGTATATAACGAAATGTAATATATTGTGAACATGAGATATGACAGGAGATGGTATGCTAGAATATGCCAGGGTACTCATACAGAATATCATAAATGATGCAGATAACCTAGAGCCATACTGTATCAAAGTAATGCAGCGTGAGTATTTGGACATGCCAGAATCAAAGTTGGCATGCGAGCAGATAGCCTATGAAGAAATATGATGCACTGCCGCACAATACCATACACACCGAATCTCAGTTGTGGTACATCTTACTATCCGCAATGAACGGTAACATGCTGATTTCACATACTGAAATTTAGCATAAAGTAGCATGTTCTGCGAACGAGATGTTCCATGACAATTTATTATCGGACACTTTCTGATCTAATTACAAATTTTTATGCGAGGTCACAAACAAAGCTTCATCTAGTATATTATCGCATAATCTACTATACTGTGTTATGTTATCAGATACCACACAATATAACAACCCCTCTACTGCAACATACTGCAACAAAGCATATACATAGCAACACTTGGAACATGTAACATAACCCCCCAGGGCCCTAAACCTAACTGAACAACTGAGCACTGGGCTTCCGCTGCTGGGGCTGGTGGGGGCTCGCAGGGCGGCGCCGGTAGATCTGAGGACATGTCGATATCTCCGACGTCCGACCTGAGTAGCGATTAGGGCTTTTTTACGCTCACACCAGTGGTTTCGGCTCTCACACTCGGATAATCCAGGCAAGGCATGTGGTTCGGAGTCTGTTGGGTGAGACTTCACTAGGGGAGTAGTCATATGACAAGCAACAAGAGAGTTATCAACATAAAGTGACTGTGATCTCGTAGACTTCATCCCTCCCGGATCCCATCCACTGTAAAGCAACATACGCGACATATAGGACCCTGGGAAAGACAGCTGCAGATCACACTAGGGGTGTAGAGGGTCTAAAAGGGGCTTTAAGGTTTAAGAGGGGTTTACAGTTTAGGGGTTTAGGGTTTATGGGGTCCAACCTTTAAAAGGGGTTTAGACTTCAGGTGTTCAGCGTTTAAAAACGGGCTTCGACTCGCACACTTGCTCACAGGCAGGCATGGCTAAAAGGGGTTTCTAGGGTATAGGGGTAGCGAGCTGGGTTAGTATAACGGCTCCTGACGGAGTCGCCTTGGCCGAAGCCCCAGCGGTGAGAAGTTCCACAGCAGAAGGCTCCCCCTCCTCTGAGCGCCTTCCCCGGAGACCCTCCGCCCCCACTGCCAGTGAAATTGGGCAGTTTTATTTCAAGGAGTCTAACGCAAATTTCCATTTTCATGATTCTGTTCTCCCCCCAAACCCTCTCTTGGCACGACCTTCCTTCCTCCGTCCGTTGGTTTTTTGTCTGTGCGGCCGCTTTCCGACCAATATTGTTTCTTGATTTCCTTAATATCAATCCGATTTTGCAATGATTATTCAAGCCCTCATGTTCAGCAAAACTCCTTTGTGGGAGGTGATGCGCAGGGCCGGGGGTCTGGCAGGAGCTCGCCAAGAGAAGGGCATCCAGTCCAGGTCCATGCTTTCCGGTTTAGGGTCGTTTAGGGTTTAGGGTTTGATGCGAAGGAACTCCTCGTGCTTGGTCTACTCAATCAAGATCGGGTGCAGTAATTCCGGCAGTTACGGGAGCCCGCAAGGCAATCTGTGGCTGCAGGGTGGGAGGAGTGGGTCGGTTGGGTACTAATTAGTCTTCAATGTCGGCTTCCTTGCAAGACTTGAAACCGGCCGGTCACGCTGGACATATGGTTCGAGTTACGCATCTGCGACCTTTGTTTGAGCCAACGCTTGGCACATTGACGTCGCCAAGTATCCACTCCTTCAATCAACTGCACTCTGAAGCACAAGCAATTCGGAACCCCTCTTCCTGCTTCAAACAATTTTGCAACCTTGCCATCAAGCGGTGCGCGGCTGGGAGCACTTCTGGCTTCAAGAGAGGTTGGGTAGTTTCGGGCTACTATCCTAAGGCGCATGCTGTGGCTCTGTCGAGTTCTATCGCAAAACATTCTGAGCTGCACCCTGCAGCATGCCCTGGACGTCCATCGCACACAGACCTCAAGGTCTGGCGACTGTGGCATGCAGATCAAAAGGAAAAGGGCACCTGCACTGATGTATACGTAACAATAATACACAACCGCCACCTTCCTCGGGAGGCTTCTTCAACAACCGTCCAAACTCAGAAGCTATTTCACCAAACATCACGCGACATTTGCCGAGCACTGGCAGCCGGAAGTGCTTTCACGTTGTTTGCTGCAGGCCGGACGAATGCACGACACGATAAGCTGGACAAGAAGATCTCTTCTGCTCCATGCTATCAGCCCTTGTGCTCCTGAGTGTCTATGCGGAAGCAGACAACGCCAAGACACCATCTTTGGCGCAGAAGCCCGGCTTGCACTGGCAGGAGCCATACCTTGGTCTTCGGCTGCGTGCCCAGAGAGAGTAGTAGTAGTAGTAGTAGTAGTAGTAGTAGTAGTAGTAGTAGTAGTAGTAGTAGTAGTAGTAGTAGTAGTAGTAGTAGTAGTAGTAGTAGTAGTAGTAGTAGTAGTAGTAGTAGTAGTAGTAGTAGTAGTAGTAGTAGTAGTAGTAGTAGTAGTAGTAGTAGTAGTAGTAGTAGTAGTAGTAGTAGTAGTAGTAGTAGTAGTAGTAGTAGTAGTAGTAGTAGTAGTAGTAGTAGTAGTAGTAGTAGTAGTAGTAGTAGTAGTAGTAGTAGTAGTAGGTAGTAGTGGTAGTAGTGGTAGTAGTGGTAGTAGTGGTAGTAGTGGTAGTAGTGGTAGTAGTGGTAGTAGTGGTAGTAGTAGTAGTAGTAGTAGTAGCTGCAGTAGTAGCAGTAGCAGTAGCAGTAGCAGTAGCAGTAGCAGTGGCAGTGGCAGTAGTAGTAGTTGTTGTTGCTGTCGTAGCAGCAGTAGCAGGAGTAGTAGTAGTAGTAGTAGTAGTAGTAGTAGTAGTAGTAGTTCTTTGCCGCAGTCGTCCTCGTAGTCGTCCTTGTGCTGCCAGAAGCCGGTATCGCAGCAGTAGTCACTACAGGTAGTAGGACTGGTAGCAGCGACAAGAGCCCCATGATACTGATCCGGTCACCTCCGGAACCTCTTCTGCCAGGCAAGCGGCGTGCATGTGGCGGTAAAGCCCAACCTGAGCTGACGCGTCTTGGACTCGGACCTTTCGAAAGCGATCTTTCGAAGGATGAGGCTCGTCAAACCGCGCGATTAGCCCACAAGGTCTCTCTGTAAGCCACAGCAGCTTATCGTGTAATCTATCTTCTCAAAGCTTTCGAGCGGAGTCACTGCTGCTGGTTGCCGCACTGGCCCCAGCAAAGACCCACATATCCGGAGCAGCCTCATGGGAGGACTGAGCGTCCGGGGTCTTCCTTCCCCGATGTGGGTTTGCCATGGTTCCACTACGCTATTTTCACGAATCACTTGATTTACAGAGGACGTGTTAAGCCCCAGTATTCCGCTGTCTTTCTTCAGTGCTGCTTGAGTCTAGATCGTGCCATAAGCCATAAAGTATTATCCTGTCTTCCGTGCTGCTTGAGTGTAGATCGTGCCATAAGCCCGCACGGGCAACATACAAGATTGAGGAGTGCCGGGTGAACGAACGCGTTCGTACTATTCGCACAGTGCATGCCCGAGCGTAGCAGTCGGAACAACTGGGAAGAATGTCTCCATCTAGCCACATGCAGATGCACATATAGTGCTTGCAATATTGCATCCAAGTCTCTGATGCTAGCCGGTAACATGCTCGCAAGTACTGCTGTACCCAGGAACGTTATGCCAATTATCCAGGTACACGTATTATAGCAGAGCTATATCAAGGGACCTTGAGGCCTTAAGAAATAACATACGAAATAATGCAGGCTTCTGTTTCAGCGACCCGAATATAATACCCTAAATAGTAGGATCCTTATTATAAGGAACCCCCAAGTATGGTAACCCTAATTACTAGTTCATGGTTGGGATAGGATCAAACATGTACATTTTTATGCCTTATGGGGTTAAAGTACCCATAAAAATGTAAAATGTTGCCCAACTATGACAAAGATCCCAGAGAGCCCAATACCCCTTGATAAAGGAATATGGCTTAATTTATAGGGGGCTTCATATTATGATTTAAGCTATATTCCTTAATTAAGGGGAATTGGGCTCCCTGGGATTAGCCCTCATCCCCAAACTCGAAGTCTTAGGAAGATGTGTCCTCCTGAGCCGAAGATCGAGCCGAAGACTCCGCCTGGAGTGGGATTCGGCGCTTCTCGATTTCTGGGATTTTTGGGGGGCCTTTAGGGCTTTAAGGGCTTTAAGGGTTTTTAGGGGTTTTAAGGGTTTAAGGGCTTTACGGGTTTTTTAGGGGTTTAGGGGCTTTAAGGGTTTTTAGGGGTTTTAGGGCTTCTCGATTCGCGGGACTAGGGTTTACAGGGCTTTAAGGGTTTTGGACTCTCGCAACTCGGACGAGGCAGGAGGTTCGAATTTGGAAGCACTTCGGCTCTCTCACCTTGGCTCTATGGGCTTCACGGGCTCAGGTTTGGTTTACGGATATTAGACAGGAGTCGGCTGTTGGATACAAAGCCAAGCATACCGGAGCTTACATGCGCAAATCCCATCTCCATAGTACCTGGCATCTTCCTTCAAACCCACCGCGGAACAACGCGGACCGCTTCGGTGTAAGTTAACAGTCTACAACTGCGGTCGCCCTGTCGTAAGGGCCGCGCTCACTGTGTCCCAGACACCCTCCAGCGCCTGAGCGTTCGGTCAACTCGTCTCAGTGCGCTGGAAGCAGCATCTGATCGACACTAAACTTTAATACCCTGAACCCTAAACCTTAAACCCTAACCCTAATACCCTTTTTGCAACTGGCCTGCTGCGACTCTGCCAGGACGAATACTTGACCACAATCACTTACCCCTGAACCCTAAACATCCTGGGACCAGCGGCGCCGGCAGCGTCGGCGAGGCCGGGGACTTTCGCGGCTACTGCGGTCACCTTGTGAACGGTGAAGGACGAAGTTAAGGGTTTAGGGTTCACATGTGAAACAAAAACTGCGAATGTAGGGTGGTCGCTCTGCACATGCATAAACATGCCGGCATACATGCTTGTTTTGCAAGCTTCACAGGCATCCATGTGCATATGTAGGCATACATAAATATACATGTACATACACGTACATGCACTGACAAACGAACATGTAGATGAAGAAGTAACTGTTACAAGTACATGAAGAGAAGAAAAAACAAGTTGAATAAGCATATTATTAAGCCAACAAGCTGCATTTTGTACTTATGAATGTACAGAGATCTCTACATATGCATATTTTGGGTATATGTATACATATATGTATAGATATATGTACAAATGTGTATGTATGTGTGTATGTGTGTATGTATGCATGTACGCATGCCAGCATGCTGTGCAAATGCATGTGCATATGCGTTACCTATGCATCCTCATTTAGCTGTGCATTCATCGATTGTTGTTCCATGTCGGTCCAAGCCTGGTCGACGACGCCCGTAGCGCCGTTCCCCACGGCATCTCGGATTTCGCTGACCGACCACTGGCACTTGCCTGGCCAATGCAGGGGCCTTATGATTAGAATTGGGTATTGGGGTATCTTACACCTTTAAAAATTTAACTATAATGAAAAACACCCAAAATAGTATTGGTAATTATTTAGGCCCCTATATAAACAGCTTTACGTAGTTCCAAGCCATCAGCGTAAGAGCTGTGTGAGAATTGGAGAGGATCACTGACGATCATAGGAACAATAAGGACACTACCTGGCAGCGAAAAAAGTGCCAGGGCAGGACGTCTGGGACGTTTGTATGTTTTTGCAAATGCTTCAAACATCCAGGCTGGGCCTGACAATCAGATGACGCAGCACTGGAGCCTCTATCCAAGCTGTTTAACGTTTCTCGCCAGGCAGGGCAGTGCAAGTTGGTGCTTCGGAATATGTGAGTCCTTTGGGCTGTTCGAACGCCAACAATTCGCGATTCCTGTGAAACCCCATCGTGCGGGCGCCCACCCAAGCCTGATCTCCCTCAATTGACTCATGAGGGCACCGTGCCTATTTCATGGGGTCCTGAACACACTTGCCAGCGATTGCTGTGGGCTTCACACAACTTGAGTTTCGCTATGAGGCGAGCACAGCTTGCTTCTCGGTGGAGTAGAACCCTCGCTATACGAGTGTCCGCCCGAATCTGCAAAACAACAGTAGTGGTGCCATGTCCGCCAGACGGAAACATGGTTGCTGAGGCACTGCTCTGTGACGACGGCCGACTTGGCGCTGACAAGTTCCATGCGGGAGTTTCCGAAAATTAGGGGGTACCTTTTTGGGGGGCCTCATAATAAGGACCCTGCTCTTTTGGGTGCTATATCAGGGTCCCCCCATGTTCGGAAACCCCCCATTTTGATGTGCCCAGTCTGGTCGGACAATCCAGGCGAGGCGAGGCATATGGTTCGGAGTCTGCTGAGTGAGACGGACCTAGAGGGAGCTTGGAATCATACCTGTTTAGGTTTTCATTCTATACCATTGTGGTCATAGCTTCCCAGTGGTTTTGGGGGGTCCCTTGGCTCTTTAGCTCCTTATTCAATAGGGATTATCATCATCCCGCTCCCCCAATGTCAATGATAGTCATGACCAGGTCATTGAGAACTACGCTCGCACTCTGCGTTCGGGAACCATGGGCGACGCATGATGCATCAGTAGCGACTCTGACGGATTCAAATGCAATGTTAGATACGGCAAAAGGCCCCCCCTGCTTCGTGGGGATCGGTAGATGCTTGCCGGTTTCGTTGGCTGAGATCTGGCCAGCAGTATTCCACCGATGACATGCATCACCGAACTTCACAATGGCCCACAAAGAAGGCCACGTTCCCGTGCGTCTGCACTATAAGGTCCGCAGGTAATGCTCTGGTCACTCTTGAGTCCGAGAACCCCTTCAGATGAAAGACGTGCCAAAATCTTGCAAGCCCAGGGGTGCCCATCGCTTGTGCTCCGCGTGATGGCAGTAATGTAGGGGCCTTAATAATTAAACCCCTACACTAATAGGTAATCCGTTAGGCCCCTATATTATGACATGACTGTCAATTCCTTCTTACTTCCTCTCCGTAAGTTTGCTTGCCACATCCAATGTGCAACGGCAAGACAACAATCCTGGCCTTCGGAATAGCAAGTGAACTGCGGGCAAACCTTGGTGTGCTGGTGTCTAGTCTAGGATCGAATTCTTGAATGGCTCGTAGAAGAACACCGCAAAAGCAGCACTAGTCATCAAACTGCAAGTCGCCAAACCCAAGACGAACAAAACTCACGGCAATCACACACTGTTCGGCTAATAACAAAAGCAGCATCTGCTCCTTTTGCATCCGTGGAGCACACTGTCCAGCCGTGAGCGAGCCCATCGTCTGATCGCATTCCGCACTAAGGGCATCGTTGCAGATGCCCGTAAGGCAGAAGGAGCCCGTGGCCTTCCTGGGCATCTATACCATAGCATCTTGCATTATGTAGTATACTATATATCGTGTTGTGTTATGTAGTATATTATTATATAATAGAAGACTATATCATCATGTACTTATATACATGTGTATATATATATATAGAGCTGTACATAAATATATACGTCTTTTAAAAATATGAGTTTTTCAGACTTTTCCGTGGCGCCGATGAAAAGTAAACTCTCTCAGTCCAACTTTGCTGGCATCTTCAGGGCCTGGTTACTGAACCCAGAGAGCCCAATACCCCTTAATTAAGGAATATAGCATAAATCGTCCTATGAAGCCCCTTAGGATATAAGCCATATTCCTTAATTAAGGGGTATTGGGCTCTCTGGGAAGATCGCCGGAGTGTTTTTGACAAATCCTGGGATGTTAGCCGCCCTTAGAACTAGAATGAACATAGTATTCTTATTCTTATTGATCCTTTCAAGTTATATTGTAAGAAAACAACATGATTCCGAAGAGCAGGAGAGGAATTGTGCAAGGTGAAGGGTGAGATGGTGCATGGCTGAGCGACAAACGCTCGGGGATTCTGCCAGGCTGTGGAACATGGAGAGGGGCTGGGGTTCGGGGTTTAAGAGCGCTGCCTCCTGAAGCTTCATGACTTAATGATGTGACTGCAGTGCCATGAAAGAACCTTCCTTCACACTGATAGTTGCAGATCAGTCTCGAACATCCGTCCTGACAAGGATCCAGGCAAGACACATCATGATCGACCACCTTCACAGGAAAGGTGAGCACAGCAAAGCACATGGTCCTTGCTGGAGTTCGTTGCCAGCAGGTGAGCTGCTGGCTTTGCAGCTGCATTGGTCACCCCAGTGGTGTGCCGGTCCTGACCACAACTTAGTTGCTGAGATCATAAGCCCCCAAAAGTGTACTGCTGAGTTCATAAGCCCACCAAAAGTGTATACTTTCAGATTTATTGTGGGTAACATTATTCCCCAAAGGTGTAAAGTGTATCCGCTCAGCTACTAAGACAACACTTGATCGAATGCAGCCGCTCTAAGGGCCCTCAATGCCTCTGAGGTCCAAAAATACTGCAGGGTTTTTCGCTCGCTACTCTTAATCTAAACCCTTTTTTGCAGCAGGCCTCGTTGTCCAGCAGCCCGGCTACAGCAAGAGCCCCCCATTTCCCTCGCTTCTTCAAAGTAAGGAGAAGAGTCGAGCTACCCTAAACCCTAAACCCTTTTTGCATCCAGGACTCTTGCAAAAACCCTAAACCCTAACCCCCTAAACCCTAACCTCCAGCACATGCGCAAACCCTCCTGGAGCTGGGAAAGAAAGCCTTATGCCCTTTAGCCTCCATGCACTTCTCGAACCGGCCCCACTCCAGAATCTAAGCTAAAACGCATCTCATCCTAAACCCCAATCTATCCCAGAGAATGCGCGAGAGTCCTTGGTGTCAGCGGCTGCAAGCCTGGACAACCCCGGGAGCTCTGTTCGCCAGATCTAAGAGCTTACATAAGCCCTACTCGACAAATTTTCCATCGGACCTGAAACCCTCGGAAATGCTGTTGTTGCGAATATTCTCATGATGATGATGCTTATGGTGATTCATAACAATAGTCATAATAGTAATAACAACTAGCAATTGCAACAGTAGTGAGAAATAGTAGCAATAATGACAACACTATTCTTATCCTCAGAAGATGCTGATGGGAAGATGAAAAGCAGAAAGACCCAGTCATGTGCCGGAATAACAATCATGGTCATAACAATAATAACCATGGTAATATAGGTAACAACTGAAATGAGAATAACAATAAGCATTAATACCAACAGTACTAATACTAATAATAAGAGTGATAAGTAATAACGATCAAAGTGATAATTCAGTGGCCAACAAAGGAATTTCTCGCTGCGGTGCAGGCAAGCGAGGCTCGCCGGAATGTGCGGAGCAGCTAGCGAATGTTCGGGGACTTAACCGTCAATAACTACTGGGCAACTTCATCCGCAAAGCCTCACCCTTGCGAAGGCTGGAAGCATCAGCTATTTCTGAAGCAAACGCATACACGTTAGGACACTCCTCAGCATTTCCCGCAACTGAAGGTCCTACTGTCCTACTGTAATCCTGGGTCCATGCCAGGGGTTTAACATCCTGGTCCGAAGAGGGACTCTTAATAAGGACCCCTAGGTATATACCCTTAATATAGCTATTATATACCCATTATATAGCCCATTATAGGCTAGGGGTCCCCATTAAGGGTTCCTCCTTTTCCCCTTTGATACACCCTAACACCAGGCCTTGTGTTTGCCTGCGGCTTAACGGTCTGCTGCAGCAGTGCCTGGTAGCCATCTGCCTGGGAAGCTTAGGGCTTTTTAAGGGTTTAGGGTTCTTAAAGCCACAAGCCTTAAAGCCGCCTCGAAGAAAGGGGTGAGCTGAGTTGGACACTGAAGTTACAGTTAATGCCCACACGAAGCAACCTCTGAGCCCTGGCCTGTGCATCCACTGCAGCGCACTCAGCACCACCTCAAGGCCCGAAATGTCAACAGTGCCAGCGGTTCAGCAACTAATCCCACAAATACTACTAATTCTAATACTACTCATACTATTAATACTATTAGTACTACTAATACTAATAATGCTGCCCCAAAAGAAACGAACCGCTCAGCTTCGATTCTTGTTAAGGTTGCGGGCGCAGCCGACAGAATACTTGCTCTCTGTGTCAGCATTGGTCCCTACTCACACAGGGCTCTGCGCCCGCATGCGCCCGCTGGTGATCCCTGATTGGGCAGAAACTGCAGCAGCTGGCCAGTAACACGATGTCCAAGCTCCCAGCTGCATTCAGCTCCAGCCGGAAGAAAGCCAGCAGCCATCAAACTGAGCAAGGTGGCAGCCTGGCACTTTGGAATGTGCTATGGTGAGCGACCTTGTCTTGTTATTTATGCTGCGAAGAAGCACCTGGCGTTACTTGAGCACAGTGTCTCGACTGATATCAACGAAGGAGTGCCAAATGACGGCCCAGCAGTTGCGAGTACCGGCGTCTCGTGCCTGCATGGCAGCACCACGTCGACCTGCAAATGAGAGCAAACTTACATGACTTTTGCATGCATGTCATGTACACACCCATATGTACGTATGCATGCATGCACACACAGTAGCAGCAGTAGTACTATGATAGAAGACACTGCTACTGCTACTGCCGCCACTGCTGATACTACTGCTGCTACTACTACTACTACTACCACCACCACTACGACGGACACTACTGCGAAGACGACGACGACCACTACTACTACTACTACTACTGCTACTGCTACCGCTGACTGCTACTGCTACTGCAGTACATTTATAGAGATTCAAACCTCTCGAGCAAACCCGGCGAGCGTGACACGAGACAGCAAGCGGGCAGGAACCCAGAGAGCCCAATACACCTTAATTAAGGAATATAGCGAATATAGCTTTAAATCATAATATTCAGCCCGCTATAATCTAAGCCATACTCCTTAATTAAGGGGTTTTGGACTCTCTGCAAAGCCAAGGGCCAGGCTGATCATGGTGCTCATCGCTTTCAGTAGGAAGAGTAACGGCAAGAGCCGAGAAGCTTCGACCCGAGCCTTCGAATGCTTGTGGACATCGAGAGCTATAAGGGGAGTTCTCTAAATTAGGGCCCCTTTTAGGTCCCCAAAGTACAGTATGGCCAGTATGGCTTCGAGGTCTACATCTGGGCCATGGATTAGAAATTTGCTTCTGCTAAAAACGAACCCCTTCGCATGCAGCCCGTGGGCACTGTTACCGAAACTGCTTGGTTACTTTCTTTGGCAGAAAACCGTAAGACTCATTCAGTGTAGCAGGCTTGCTTTGACGGTATGCTAACAGGCCACGCTGACGATTCTTAAATATACAAGAACATGAAATAACATGAAAGACTGACCGACTCACCAATCCCGGGACAATCCGCTGCGGCAGCCTTGTTTTGATGAAAGCAAGCTCTGCCCTGCGAGAATCCGCGTATGCGTCTTGCAGCGAGTAAGTCGCGCACTCAGTGCGATGGTCTCGCTCACTGCAGGGGTCTCACAGGAGCTACGAAGAGGAAGTCCCACATCCTCATCACTCGAACTTGGAACGCTAAACATTGGCCTGACTATGGCATCTCGGTCGCATTTTAGGCAGCTTTTCAAAGCCTCAAAGTTGTGTACACCGTCTGTACATGTGTTTCTGCTTGTCCACGGACCGATGCCCAGTCAAAAGAAATCACTGCAGACTCTCGGGAGATAAGCCGCCACCTCTGCCAACCCTGCATCTCGTGTAGCTCACTTGCGAATTTAACTCTGCAGCACTTCTCCGTAGGAGTATCTCCTGCTGCAGTTGCGAAGGCTTGAAGGGAGCCGGGTTCAGGGCTGTCGTAGTCGCTCGGTCTGCCGCCTGCCAAGCGATGCCTCGAGGCCTGGTCTCTGTGTCCATGCTGGTGCTTCGTCTCGCAGCTCTCGCAATGCCAGCCGGGAATTCCCGTTGTCCGGGCGAACCCTGGGATGCTCTAAAGCATCTCAGAACATATGGTGCTGGAAGTAAGCAGAAGCTTAGGGGTTTAGGGTCTCGCCGCCGAAGTTCCAGCAATCTTTAGCAGCTGCTTCCAGCTTCTCGTGCCTCACTCTCCTCCTGCAGAGCTTGAGCTGGCAAGCACCACCCTTAGAGCCCAATATCCCCTCAATGGAGGAAAAGACCTGAAATCATCATATTGGGACCACTAGAACTTCAAATTTACTGCGTCGTCAAGGGTATTGGGCTCTCTGGATAAAGCTCCTGCAGCTCGCTGGCCACCGGCTGATCACTTGACATGCTTGCCTCGTTGACCGATTAGGATAGGAAAGTTCTCCCAATGAGCTTCTGACTGGTCTTTACCTGGCATCCGGGGAAAGACATGCCCAGTGACCCGTGTTTTCGCAGCCTGCGCAGCATCACGGAAATGACGAAGGCGACTGCTCGGGCAGCTTTTTACGAGACGTCTTTCGGCCCCGTGGCCCAAGGGAGTGCTTTCCTGACCGTGATAACCTTCAAGTTATAAAGTCTGAACTGCTCACCCCTATACTAAACTCTTACAGGTGCGTTCCGTCACGGGCCGACCATACCTGTCATGTGACAGGTTTCGGCCGGGGATTGCGTTTGGCGCCCAGGACTGCGGCTGGTTTGAGTGGGAGAATCAGAATGCTCCGAAGGCAACGCCGCCGACACCGCCACCGTTGAAACGACCCGGTGTGAGTCATCAGGCGCACAGCCCTTGGTGATGCATTTGGTCTTTCAAGGCCAGCTCGTCTTCCTATGTCTCTCTTTCCGCCGCCATTGCAGCCAAAGCTAAACTCTGGTCGACACGAGCGTCCGTGCGGGCCAAGGATGAGAACATGCGGTGAGAACTGCGATTCAAGTTGCCATGATCGGGAACTTGACTTGGATCTTCTGTACAAGGGATTTGGACTAGGATCTTCTGGGTTCCTTTTTTTTGCCTCCTGATTTGTAGGGCTTAGTAACAACTATGGGCTTTCTCGCGGTTTGCACAAAGCACGTCATCGTTGACTGGTGGATGCTCGTGACAGAAACTGCGTCAAAGAGCGCAGTAAAAACTGCTACCAGCTCTTCAAGCAGAAGCATTCAGCAGAGAGCCTCTTCGCACAAAGCTCATATGGTTTTCCCATGCCATTGCACTTTTCTTCCTCCCTGAACGTCTAAGGCAGCCAAGTAACTAAGACATCATCGGCAAGATCTACACTGCGATGCATGCTAAGATCTCGTGCTGTTCTGCTACTGTACACACTAGTATCTCTCATAGGCTGTGTGTGAGGAGAACCGGGCCACCTTGGCCCCATGCCTCTGCTCCGCAGATGTCGGGTGTATTGGACAGCGAGGTGCTGGACCAGAAAGATCAGGGCGTCTCGACGGATTCACTGCAGCTGCCAAATAAATGACTTGACTCTCCTTATAAACTTGTGGAAGGTTTAGGGTTGAGGGTTGCTCCGTAATGAAGAAATAAGCGAGCTGCTTGTAATTTATCGGGTTTGCCGGGTGCGCCGGTACAGTTCCAACCTACCCCCAGGCTTCCAGCCACGTGCTCGCAAAGAATGCCGGTGCACGACACGGGTCAAGGGTTTAGTTTATAGGGTGACGTGTGCTACGACACCAGTCATGCTTTGGGCCTGTTTGCCATATTAATATGTTTCTATAATCCCTGGACTAGGTGGCTCCCTTTGTATGATGGGTGGGCTTCTTTGCACTCTAAGCATTAGGCTTGGTGCTACAGTATGGGCATGGCTTTCTGCTAGCTGTTGACATAAGACCCTCAACAAGGACCACCTCTGCACTCACCCCTCGTCGGCAATCAGTAAGCCGTCGATGTGCTGGTCAAAACTCCTGTTTCACCAAAAATGGCAGCAATGGCGCCGCCAGTGGCTTGGATCTGCTTCACGTTCTTCAGCTTCGGCAGCACGGTGCTACTGTCACCACCAGAGGGAGCATCACTGACGGTTTCTTGCAGAAATGCTGCAAGCCCCCATCTTCAAGCGATGCGCCTCAGGAAGCTGAACCACCCTCTGTGCTTGGGCAAGGGATGCAAACCATCCCATCATCCAAACTCAGAACATGCACATTCCCCTTTTGACATCGACGGCCTCAACTGGGAAATCATCATCAACTTGCCCAGCATCTCGTGGAACCAGCTACTGCATAGAGTATAATACGATATTGCGCAGGTGGCAACAGTCTTTTGCAGTGCATGATCAAGCTGCGGTTGTGTTTTCTGGTTGCCACCTGCTCAAGGATGCGGTGGCCAGGATGGGTTCAAATCGAAGTCCGGATTAATGGCTACTGCTGCGAGGGCAGGCATAACAGTAGCTTTTGTCAGTCGCTACAGAGACAGCCAATTGCATGCCCTCACAAAGTTGCTTCTGCCGTTGGTAGCGTCTCTCCACACCCTGAAACTGCCTGACAGGATCTGGCCAGGGAAGTGCGTTTAGACTGGAGGATCATCCGTCTTCGCCTCCTATCACGTTCAGTAGTGGAAGCAGGATCAGAAACCAGAGCATGACGGGGAGCCGCCTCTTAACAGACACTCTCGAGTCTCGACCTTTGTTGAAAGGTGGCACGGGTCTTGCTGGCAGGGAGTTTCAATGGAGTCCCATCGCTGGCATTGACTCTATGTCTCGGAGAGTGCCCACTACCATTTTGTCTTCCCTACCGTCCTTGGAGGATCATAGGACTTAGTAAGTAAGGTTATAGGTACTTTAATTTGGGTTATAAGTAGTTATAAGTACAGTTACCTTATTTATAGCCCCACTTACTAAGCCCCACGACCCTTTAAGTAGGGTTGACCTTCTCATGGTACTGGGCTCAGCTTCGGTGGAGAATCTGACGTGCCCCCTTTGCTTTCGTTTCAGCGCGTTCCCGCATCACTTGGTATTGCAGCGGATGCAATGTTGCAAGGGCCCTAATAAAACCCCCTAACTCTGGACCCTAAACCCAAAACACTTTCGACCACTGTGGCTCAGAACCCGAAATCCCTAAACCCTGCAGGCCCTACAACCCTGAACCCTAAATCCCTAAACCTTTCTTTTTGGAACGAAGTCTCTCTGAAGTCCCTAAACCTTAAACCCTACACCCTGCGAGACTTGTGATTCTCCACCGAAAGGAGCCGTGAAACGCACCGAGGGGAGGCTCTGGTCTGAGCGTTGTGGGTGGATTCTCTGCTGGTCGGTGGAACCTACTACTACTACTACTACTACTACTACTACTACTACTACTACTACTACTACTGCTGTCACTGTTGTCACTAGTGTTACAGCTATCGTTGTTGCTGTTGTTGCTGTTGTTGTTGTTGTTGTTGTTGTTGTTGTTGTTGTTGTTGTTGTTGTTGTTACTAGTATTCGTATTACCATTGGCTACTATTACCGCGACGATAATTGATACTGTTGATGTTACTAATCGGACTAATCGTATGATTATTGCTATTGTTCTGGCTACGGCTTTTTCGTTGTTCTGAGTGGTACTATGGGAGACTGTGTTTCAGAGTCCAGAGGCGGCAATAAATGTGAAAGTTGAGACACACTCATGTGCTTGTTCAGCCTTTACCGTGGCACCCCACCTGCAACACTACCAGATGCCAGGTGCCGTCGTCTCAGGCAGTTCTGCTTCAATTCCGCACAGCTTAACAGCAAGAAATGCTTACTGACTGAGAGGTATTGGGGAGGTGGTTGGGAAGGCCACTAACATGATTGGCAGTCCAGGTCTAGACAATAGAGCAGACCTTTTACACTGCAAAGCCCCTGGCATCAACTGCATCACTGCTCTCCATCGTTCTATGAATTCCATTATCATCACCCTGTCGAAAGAAACAACATCCCCAGAGCCTAGAGCCTGCAAGCCCCAAAGCCGGATTCAGTCAAATTGCGGTGAGTCTACACGATGCATTGAACGGGAGGCAAGGACGCAGAACTGGCGAGTTCAATGAGTAAGGCCCCTGCGAGTGGCGACGTGAGAACACCGGCATCACGGTTGGCAGGTGTTGCAGAAGCACTTATTGGAAATGGCAGCGCTCAGCTCCTCTGTGAGTGGGGTCCCGTGCAGCTCTCGTAAAGACGCCTGGCACAGCGTTCTTCGGATACGGTTTCGGCTTTTGCCACTCAGACAATCCAGGCGAGGCTTCTGCGGCGAAAGACTACTGTACTAGCACCAGAAACTTGTGGAAGCACATCTGACGGCACTCTTCAGGCTGGTGTGAATTTCTGTCATTCCATAGTAGGACCTGTATGTGGTTTTGGATTGGGTGCTTCAGCCAAGCAGTACCCTGGATAAGTACTGGGAGATCTGTAGTTGATACCTTTGGAACAACCCAGACAGAGTCAATGGACAGTCTTGCATATATGACATCGGCCCACTTCAAGCAGTAAGAAACAGCGTGGCTGCAGTTTTTGCTGCGATCCAGGTCCCCAACCAAGCTTGCGTGGAAAACCTAGGAAGGCGACAGAAATCTGGTCACAAAGTGGTAGGATTGGCCTGTTCAGGCACCGGCGGTGGACTTCTCATCAACAAGAAGCAAGACAGATGCATCAGTCGCACTGTTCGCTCTTGGACTCTACAGAAAGTGCGCTGCAGCGTGACGAGTGTAGGTCGCACACCCTCACTGCGATAGAGCTTGCGGGCTTCTCGAATGTGACACCTGGATCACAGTTGCTTTGGCTCTCTTGCGCCAGCAAACAAGACACACCGAGCGAGCGAGAGCAAGAGAGCGACAGGTCACACGCGTCTCAAGTGATCATCCTGCACTCTGGTATGGGAGTTTCCGAAAATAGGGGACCATAATATAGTATCCTAAATAGTAGGATCCTTATTACAAGGACCCCAAAATAAGGTACCCCTTCTTTTCGGAAACTCCCGTATCTCTGCAGTCACGCCCTTCACAGCCCCTCCCCGAACACGTGTCCTCCCGATTTTTCTGGACGCCGCTCCCGAGCACACATTCGACTTGCAAGCTGCTGGGATCGTCGGGGACCCCCTGGAGGCTGAGAACTTATGATGGGAAGCCAAATTGGGGGGTTTAAGATTCTTGGGGTAGGGGGATTCCTTAATATGAACCCTATTATGGGAACCCTAATCCCTACTAAACCCCCATAGGCTAAAACCCCTTTTGGCCTCCTATGAACCTAAAACCAATGTGGGTGGTTGTCAAAGATAGGGTCCGTTTTGGGCTCATGGTTATAATACGGCACCTATTATTTAGGGTACCCAGGAAGGGGCCATAATTTTGACAACCACCCCAATCTCTGCCACGAGCAGCAGCTTCTTCCGCGGTGCCCCGAAGCCTTCAAGCCTTGCCAGCCTCTAACCGGTAGCTCCTACTATTGGGGCCTTAATAATTAGAATAGGGTTCCTTTTCAAAGGGTCCTTAAAAAGGGATCTAAAGGGGTCACTACAAGGGGTAGTATAAGTTTAAGGGTTTTTGTATATATAGGGGCCTTAACAATTAGAATAGGGTTTTGGGGCCCATTGTACTGTAATTATGATAAGGAGCCCCCAAAATAGTATCGGTAATCATTAAGGCCCGTATATTACCAAAGCAACTCTTGAACCACAACTCAAGAAAAAGCCGTCGCCAAGGCAGCTGCAAGGCGCTGTTGGCCACGCTTGACTTTGGCCGAAGGCTGCCTTTCCATATAAGGTTTAGGATTTCGGGGTTCGGGGTTTTGGTGTTTATGGTTTTTGGGGTTTAGGGTTTTATAGGGTTTGCTACTTTCCGCAAAGACCGAGCTTTCGAAGGCTGAGCTACTCTACTTGGAGGATCGCGGGACTCAGTAAGTAAGGTTTTCAAGTACCTTAATTGGGGTTTATAAATTTAGTTATAAGTATAGTTGCCTTATTTATAATCCCACTTACTAAGTCCCATGATCCTTCAAGTAAGAAGGCAACAAGAAGCCAAGGCCGCGGCCTTTTCGAGCGCTTCTTGCGCTTGCTCCGAAGCTTCCCGCCTTCCGAGCCTTTGGTGCATGGTTAGCTTTCACAGTCTCATGCAAGACTTAGGATTTAGGGTTTGGGGGCTTAGGGGTTTAGGGTTTAAGGTTTCGCACTTGTGACTGCAGCAGCTAGCAGCTAGCAGACCATTTCCTCGAGAGTCGGGTCGAAACCGAAATCTGCATGCAACGGCATGGAGGCTTGCATTCATAGTGATCATCGCAGGGATGCTGCACTCTCGCGCTGCGCTGTCACTCACGCTCGACGAATCAAGCACAGTAACCCTTACAAATACGCACCTGAGCTGTCGGGGTCGCGCCTCCGGGCAAGCGGCAAGTGTCGGCGCCTGGGTGGCACCTTAGCAGCAGCAGAAGCCCAATGTGTTGAAGCTGTGAAAGTTGACGAGCCAATGCTTTCGGAGCATCTTTTCCTGCCGTGAGATAGATTTACATAAGTTTCTGGAAACTCCTAATTTCGACGGCATGGCCCCATGATACCCCCAAAACCCCAAATCCCAACTTCCCGAACTGCAGCGCTTGGGCCAAGACGGCGACATTGCACCAGGCCTGGGTCACCATCGTCATCACGAGCATCATCATCATCATCATCATCAGAACATCATCATCTTCATAGCCTCATCATCCTCATCATCGCCATCATCATCATCATCATCCTCGTCGCCATCTTCGCTACCTGCCTGACTATTGCCAGGGCAGCACTGATGGATGTAAACGGCCTCATATGTCAAAAGCCATCGACAAGAATGTAAAACCGTTCTGACTCGTTAATGTTGATAGTTGATATCAGTAAGTCGTAAATGGATGATCAGATGACATATCAACGGCTGTTAAATCAACAAAAGCAAGACAGCAAATTCAACACTGCGCTTGCAGCTGGTTGTAGCTTCAGAAGAAACCGGTAGCGGGGTTTCCGCAATGCTTCAGCTCAACCACGAGGGATTTACGGCAGCTCAACCCGTTCCAGCACGAATATAGGGACCTTAATAATTAGAAGAGGGTTTTGGGGCCCATTATACTATACTTATAATGAGGAACCCCAAAATAGTATGGGCAATTATCTAGGCCTCTATACGGGAGTTTCCGAAAATAGGGGACCTCAGTAGTATAAGCACCCCAAATAAGATGCCCCTAATTTTCGGACACCCATATTAATATTAGGACATCCGAGAATCGACCTACGCCTCGCTGGTCTGCGCAAAAAAAGGGGCCCTGACAAAACGAGTGGCGACCTGGCGCGTAGCGGCGAAGAGAGGGTGAAGACAAGTGGCCCCAAAATGATATAACAAAGGGTTTAGGGTTACATAACAGAGCATTAAGGGTTACATAACAGAGGGTTTAGGGTTATATACTTTACCCCAGCATGTGGTATAATGGCATGAATGGAGGTATTGAGTGGCTGTCCCGCAATAAAAGGCGGCACTGAAACCCTGCAAGGCCTTACAACACATGCAACTTTGCCGACCAAGGTTGTGTGATACTCTTCGACACGTTTGGCGGGCGCTCTCTCATGCTCTTATGATTATTCAATACAAAATTCAGGAAAAGAATAGAAATTAACAAATGAAAATAACAATACTAATAATCATAATAATCATAATACTGATAATGGTGTAAAGAATAACAATAGTAATAATCATAATAATCATCCATCACACCGCATTCGTGTTCATGTGAAACGAACACAACGTAGCGCAGCACCACTTCTGGATACTGACCGACAAGCGTCAAAAGCTTGCGACATAATCATAATAATAAAAGTAATAATAATATGCGCTGGCCCGCCTCGTCTTCGGAGTGCTCGTGGAACGCCGGGAGTCGCAGGAAGAACTGGCATCGTGTGCCGTGTGCTCTCAATTCTCTGGTTCTTAGCAATACGGTTGATGATATAAATCCTGCGTGACCCATAATATGAGCAATATACCATATTGCTCATGGTTTAGGGTCCTTAAGGTAATGCAGGATTTATACCATCAACAGTAGTAGGGATAGTAGGGAATGGGGTTCCTTTAAGGGTTCCTTTAAGAGTTACTATAAGGGTTCTATAAGGGGTCTTAGGGTATCTATAGTCCCTGTCTGGTTCTTAGTAGGGAAGGGGATTCCTTTAATAAGGGTTAAACTATAGGGGTTTAGGCTGGGTTCTTAGCAGGCTGTCTGTAGTAGGGAATGGGGGAATGGATTATGGAGACCATTATTGGAGATTATATCGGGACTTCTGTAGGGCTCCATTCCTAAGAACCAGACAGTCAAGCTGCCATGTGCAGCCCGACGCGATTTTTCCTTCACAAGCTCGCCTTCGCCCGCTCTGGGTCCTGTTCCTAGGCGGAGGTGCAGGAGTCTGTAGTGGCTCGTCCTTACGTTGCTGCAAAACCCAAACGCCGCAAACTGAGCTGCTGGCATCTCCGACTCCGGCTTCACTTCGATCCTAGGCGGGAGTGCAGCAGTCTGTAGCGACTGGCTCGTCCGTTGCTGCAAAACCCAAACGCCGCCCACTGAGCTGCTGGCATCTCCTGCATCTCCGACTCCGGCTTCACTTCGCCCCTAGGCGGGAGTGCAGCAGTCTGTAGCGATTGGCCCGTCCGTTACAGACAACCCAAACGCCGCACACTGAGCTGCTGGCCTCTTTTTCTCCAACTCCCTCTCCACCTCGCACTCCTCAGGCTAAGCTTAGGGGCTAAGCACCCTGGCCCTAGCCCAAAAAAGGTTAAACTTCTGAAGTATAGTAGGATACATAAGCCCCAAAAGGTAAAAGGTTTCCGACCCAGCCCCTAAGTAAGATATCTATGTGGCAGCGAGGCCGCGGGAGCGACTGCTGCAGAAGACCACAGCAACTTCGAAGCCAGAAAAGCCCTACGCCTCGAAATCTCAGCTCGCGCTTATGCAGAAGTAAGCGAATTGTGTCTCTTGCAGGCTTTACCCATGGACAGAATTATTGCGGCAAAGGCTTCGGCATTGGCTGGTCCATATTACTGCTCGTATCTGAACGTCTGTCCAACTATGTTCTTCCCGGTTCGGCACATCTGTCCTCGCAGTAGTCTTTGTACTGCGGCTGCGCATACCACTCGTTCTGCCAAGCGAGTGCCAAGCGACATGCGGAAGGTGATGCTTCAGGGATCACTGACGGTTCAAAGAGATGCAATGGAATCCCCTGCTACAGAATATCAATCCCTAAACCCTAAACCCTAAACCAATCCCGAAGCTCCTACGACCCTCAGCGCCCATCGCGACTCAGACGAGATCAAGGAGCGCCTTGCACCCGCAGCGGCTACAGGTCACCGAGTCGTTGGCCTAAGGAGCTCCCAGACAGCCCAAAAATCCCCTTAATGAAGGAATATGGCCTATATTATAAGAGGTTTCATATTCATATTATTTTAATATGTATATATATATATGTATATATATATATATTAATATTATATTCACATATATATATACATATATGTGTATGTACATATATATATATATATATTATGATTTAAGCGATATTCCTTAACTAAGGCTCAAAATCATGGGGGGCTTCATATTATGATTTATAAGCTATTACTTTTTACTTAATTAAAAGGTATTGGGCTCTCTGGGCCGGGAAAACTACCGCTTTTTCAGGTCAGTTCGGGACTCTGTTGTCCATGGTTCGCCCAAGGCGATGTCAGTTCTAGTCTGGGTTCTTACTTCCTATAGATCCCCATTCTGGTAACCTAAATCAAATTCCTTAACAAGATCGCAGTAGTTTCACATCTAGTCCGGGACGAGAGGCTTCTGACTACAGGCCCGGAGTTTGGAGTAAATCGGGCGCAAGCACAGAATTACCTGAAACTACAGTATGAGTACAGCCATATTTCACGAAATTACATGTCATAGTGCGTTTATGTCATGGTACTATCTTAAATATAACACCTCTCGGGGCCAAAGCCCCAAGACTCTTACGAGATCACCTGCCGCACCTGGGACCTGTCAAACTGCGAATTTCTCAAGGACTTGGCTGCAGGAGACAGAGAACATCGCAAGGTTCTGTTGCCTGATCTGAGGGCCGGTGCCCACCACTGGTCTGCTTTGTATCGCCTTACACTTCACATGAATCAGCGGTGTCTTTCTCGTGCACGCTTGAAGGCGAGCCCAGGCATGCCAAAATTGGGCTCTGCATGTGGGAGGTACAACCGTCCCCTTCCCCTGCTGCTTGCTCAAGCTCCGCCCTGTGTTCTCCCTCCGTCATGTATAGCCCGTTGCTCGTTTGCGTCCCCTTAAGGCCTTAACAATCCCCGTGAGTGGCCTGGGTGGTGCTCCTCATTCTTGCACCGGTGCGGAGGCCAAGTTTTCCACAACACCCATGCATGGTTGAATGCGCATCCCTTGCTAAAATGTGTTCATGCCCGCAGAGTGTTGGCAGTGACACAGGCAAGGTAGCGCAATTGGTCTGGTCTTGACCAACTGGTGCTAACTTCGTAGTTTCCACCGCCTACAACTTCCGTGCTTTGCTCAACGCTGCGGCGTGTATGAACTCAACCGCGAACGTGCGAAAATCAGCCAAGTTTCAGATACTCGATGTTGTAGCGGAGGTTTTCGGCCTGGCAGAGGACAGACCGCCCTGCATGAGATGATGTGGGAGCTTCCGAAAAAGTGGGACCTTAATATAGTACCCCAAAGCTGGATCCTTATTACAAGGGCCCCAAAATAAGGTATCCCGCTTTTTGGGTATCTCCCATGTTTCATCGAACTTCAGAAAACCTCTCGGCTGTCTTTGTTAGGCCTTGGCACTGAAGCTTTGGCTGTTCAAACTCTTCGAAGCGAGCAGCTTATACTATAGGGGCCTTAATAATTAGACTAAGGTTTGGGGTATATTATACTATGATTATAATAAGGAGCCCCCAAACATCCCAGAATAGTATAGGTAATTAGATAAGCCCCCGCTGCCTCCGCCGTCGTGCAATGCGGACTGTACCAGATCTAGACTGGAGAAACCAGGCTACTCTAGGGGCCTTCGTGAAAAGAATAAGGGTTCCTTTACAGGGTCCCTTTAAAGGGGGTTCCTATAAGGGCTTCATTAATATGGGGGCCTTAATAGTTAGAATAGGGTCCGGGGTATATATTACATCAGCATCCCAAAAAAGGGAAGCACTCGCGGCACCCATGTCGTCTCAAACATGTCGCGGGCAATCGCAGGTTGTGGTCACCTTGCCCCTGATATGGACACGGATCGATCTGAAAGGAAAGCTAGAGCATTTGACGGTGATCTCCTCGTCTGTGACAGCAGTTTTCCAGATGGTCTCATCAATGATGTGCTCCGACTCTCCACTTTCAAGCTTAGTCCATCGTGAACTCGCTCTGCATTGCCAGAGGTGTCCAACTCTTATGCCCGGTTGACAACATGCTCACATGGACTGCATCATGATGTGCTTCCGTCTTCTCGCAAGCAAAAATCAACCTCCTCGTCCCCAAGATGCATGACACGCAGCTGCTCGCACTCCTCCTGCGAGGTTTGCAGCTTCGCTTCGAGGCGCCGGCCCTCGGAATTCTCCTCCTCGAGCTTCTGACGCTTCCGCGCCGTCTCCTGGCTCTCCGCCGCCAGGAGCCGCTCTGCGAGCTCCCGGCAACGATCGCGGCTGCTGTGAGACCTCTGCAGGTACCAAGCCGCCATCCGCTCCCGCTCCGCTGGTGGGCGAAGCTGCGCTGGAAGGAGCCCCGCCTCGGAGAAGCGCCAACCACTCGTGTACTTCCCCCACTCGGCCGCCCAGTGCCGGAGCAGCGCCTCGCACAGCCTCTGCGGCCTCGCCGCCATGTTCAGCTCTCCGAAGCGCTCGAGCCAAGCCTCGGCCTCCTCCGGCTGCACACGGCTCAGCGCCTCAAGACCAAAGATTTTCTTGATGTCCCTGTCCGGCCGGCTTTGTGCATAGATTCTTGGTGACTTTAATGAAGGAAGCCTCCACAACTCCGAGCTTCTTCGAGTACTGCAGGATGTTTACGGTCAGCTTGCGAAAGTTGAACGTGTCAGTAGTTGGCATAGGTATTCCACGCCAATGCACACTCACAAAGAGGCCCAGCGTTGTTTGCAAGCACTTTGCTTCTCCGCTGGGTCTGACATTCTCTCTCGACTTGTTTTCCCACTCTTTGTTCTTGGCCACCTCGTACGTTGCACACGGCATCGCAGGCGTGTCGAGCCTGCGCCACCAAAGCTGCATCCTGCGCAAGGGTGCTGACTTTGTCTGGGCAACGAAAGCACCAAAGCTCGCTTTCTCCGATCCAGCTCTTTCATTGTGTAGCCGTCGGGGATTCTTTCGAGGTCGGCGTAGTCGCTGTAGTCGCGACTCGTCAGTGCTCAGGCGAGACTCAGAGCGGAAGGACAGAGCTCCGCGCGGACATCACGGCCAGCTGGGACGATGCGACTCACCTGCCGAGGCTGCCGCGCTTGTGGGGTTGCGGCCGAGTGTTTGCAGAAGGCGGTGTATACGGCTCCGGCATGGCCACACAATATCTCTGAGGGTATCTGCCAGCAGCATGACAACGTCATCGTCTGAGTCCTCCACCGACTCGTCTGACCTGACCTCCTGTGAAATGCGCAATTTCCCCCATCTCGTACATGTTTGCCTCAAGTTCGGGCGTTCATCTAAATTAAACTCAAAAGCGAAGACCACTGTTGCATGAACAAGAACGCAGCATTACAGACCTCCGCCAAATAGAACCTTATTACATGGCTGGTGACCTCCGGAAAATATCTACGAATTTATGCTCGAGGGGCCCCGTGCGACCACTTGGGCCACCGTATGCCGGGGCAGGAAAGTAAGCAAAGGCTGCGGGCATGACGGCTCGCCATGCATCCCGAGCACAGCGATTTGCGTAGCAGCCGGTGCTTCCGTCGATCGGAGCCGCAGGGCATGAAGGCAAGGCATTCGCCGCAACGCCACCTCGCCGCAGACTCTAGACCGTAATGCCTCTGTGTATTACTTACCTGCGCCTGCTATCTAATCTTATAGCTGCTGTTTGGAAGGATTGCGTGGCGATTCGAGGCTCCTACCTTGACTGTGCACGTGCTGGGGTAGCAAAAGCATTTTTTCGATAATTTTAAGGCGGCCTTGCTTTCCTGTGGCGCCTTTTGCCGATCTGCTCAGTTCAGTAGATACGAGTAGAATGATAGAATGGGACCTGCAGGAGGAAGGATGCGGCTTGGACGAGCGCACGCATGAATATTTTTAGGACAAACCTTCGACTGTAGAAGCATCGTGCAACAGCTCGGCGTGCCTGTGGCGGACTGCGTCACGGAGCTCGGATTGAGGAGCGTGGTTGCCGGGACATTCAAGGAGCGGCTGACCAAGACCACTTCTTTATCTTCGTCCGCGAAGGCGATGCTCCCGGGAGCGTCTCGGGACGGTGCCAAGGCTGTCGGCAAGGGACCAAAGTACGCGCATCACATCTTCCTCGAGGTTTTCCACAACAGAGATATCACAGACTCGGAGATGCATCGACAGGTGGCTGTGTCTATAGCTGGAAAGCACACAAGCTCCATAAAGATCTTCGCTCCGGATCCAACTGCCAGTCCAAGCCCTCATCCTACAGGGCCTGCCGACAGGGCTGCAAGGCCAGAGAATGCGCCAGAGCTGTGGTCAGCCGGCGATGCGAGCGGCTTACCTTCAAACGCACCCGTTGGAGTGCATCACCTGAGGCTGCAAGTCGTGGATCCGATGTTGTGCTCGATCCAAGATGCCTCCTGTTCCGCCACGATTGCAGCGCTCTCCTCTTCCGGGATTGCTTTGCGACCTTTCGGATTCAAATGTGGATTGTGGAGCCTGGTGATGGCAAGGATTACCCCCACAGCCAGTCTTGCATCGGATACAGAAGCCTCAGGTAGTCTGCAGACGGTGCCTCAGATCGGATGTGGCTTGCGGCTTTCTAACATGTAAACGGTCATTCTTAGAACCCAAGGTCAAAGAGAAAACATGTTTCAGTACATAACCTGTAAAGAAAGCCTGCGGGCCAGCTGCCAGCTTGGTGCTCTGAAGCAGCTCGCGCAATGCTGCGCGCAGTTGCTGCGCGCGAGTGTACAAGTTCTCAAACATCCACGCGACCCAGTTGTACTTGGTGCGATTCGCTTTCGCCACGGGCATGGTGGTTCTTCGCGTTCAACCAAAGGAGCACCACAGCGTGGGCATCCGATGCAGCAGTTTTAAATAAAGGAACAAAGCAATGGGCTTGGGCCACATCTCATGTTTTCGCTGCGAAAGCTCATACGTGGCGATTCGGTGCCTCTAACCATTCGTGGACTCAGGTGCCTAATATCTGCCGGGATGCTGATGCTAGCTGACAGACGCATTTAGGTGAGAGGCTGACTGGCAAGGCTCTATGATGCTCTATGTACCACAGAAGAAATTCCGCCAAGCAAATAGGCGCTGCCATCCAATCAGATGACCCTAGCATGTGCTTACAATGCTGAGACTCTGCATGACTCTGCCTGCTCTTCAAAGATGTCGCTGGTCTCCATCTCCTTCCAGGGAAAGCAAGAGTGCATGCATGAAAACGAAAAAGTCCTTGCTCATACTTCGTGCAGGTGCTTCCGTGATTGACGTCGTCAATGTCCTTGCTCATACTCGAGTCAATGGCTTCCGCGACTTGAGCATTTCGCCGTCCTTGCTCATACTCGAAACCAATTGCTCCCGTGATTTGAGCGTATACTCCGCGGTGCGTCCGTGATTTGACGCACTCAACGTCCTTGCTCATACTCGAAATCAGTTGCCTCTGATCTCTGATCTGAGCGTTCCCCGTCCCTGCTCGTACTCAATGCAGGATTTGATGCGGCAAACGTCCTTGCTCATACTCGAAATCGATTGAATAGCTTCCGTGATCTGAGCATTTCACTGTCCTTGCTCATACTCAATGCAGGCGCTTCCGTGATTTGAGCCTTTCAACTCCCTGCTCATAGGTCAGATGCTTCCGTGATCTGAGCATTTCGATGCTCTTGCTCAGAGCCTGCCTCCGCCATTGCTCAGACTGAAAAATCCTGTGCAACGGCTCTGAAGTTTGAGCCTGTCAAGGCTATTGCTTTGCACTCGAAGTTAAGCAGTGCATCCGTGATGCAAGCCTGTCCGCCCCTGCTCATGCTACAAATCTTCTTGCTGATCCTCTTCTTCGGGTGATCTGAACCTTCTTCGGGGAATTGGGGCTGAGCGGCCGGGCGAGAACTTGCGGAGCTTTGTTGCACATGAGCCTAGCGGTTTAGGGTCTCGGCTTTGATGTGCTTGAGAATTTCGAGGTCAAAGCTCAGGGTGTGGAATGATCGCACGTAACTCTCATACGAAGCTTGATACCGTTAACATAAGCCCTGATGAAACCCTAGACTTGGCTCGAAGCCACAACTCTAAGATTTCAGCACGTTTTAAACCGCAGCAAGCCAAATGGGAGTTTCCGAAGATAGGGGACCCTAATGTAATACCCTAAATAGTAGGATCCTTAGTATCAGGACCCCCAGAATAAGGTACCCCCTAATTTTCGGAAACTCCCATATAGATCCCTGTAGTAAAGGGGAACCCTAACTACAGAACCCTATTATATAGATCCCTTTAAGGATCCCTTTAAAGGGAACCCTACAAGGACCGAGGGCGAGGCTGAAGTCCTTTGCCGTTGCGCCAATCCTGGGCCCTCCGAACATCACGCCCTTGGTCCTGAGCTGAAGTACTTGGAGGCCCTTTTGACTTAGTAAGTAGGGTTAGTAAGGTGGGTTATGGGGATTATAATGGGGTTTCTGGGGGATACTAAGTAGACTTACTAAGTCAAAAGGGCCTCCAAGTAGGGTTTAGGGTTTGGGTTTTGGGATTTAGGGTTTAGGGTTATAATTATATATGGTTTAGGGTCCTGGGCTGGGCGTTGTGGGTTTTAGGGTTTAGGGTTTTAGGGCTTAAGGGTTTAAGGGTTTGGGGTTTAGGGTTTCTGGTGTCAGGTTTGAGGCCTCTTCTTGGCACTCGGGGTTAAAGGCCTTTAGGCATAGGGCTAGGGGGTTATTAATACTATTAGACAAACTGTTAAACTCTGTTTCTGTTTCATCAATGGTAGCTTCCCTTCCTGAGTGATGCTGTCTGCTTGCTACTAATATCAAACCACCACTACTGCTACTACTACTCCTACTCCTACTCCTACTCCTACTCCTACTCCTACTCCTACTCCTACTACTACTACTGCTACTACTACTACTACTACTACTACTACTACTACTACAATTTCTACCCGTACTGCTACTGCTACTGCGACAACGGCTGCGACTACCTACAACTACGTCGACGGCTACTACTGCCCCTCCTGCTACTGCGACCACTGCCACTACCACAATAAGAACAGCTACCGCTACTACTACTACTACTACTACTACTACGACGACGACGACAACTGCAACCACCACAACAACAACAACTACAACTACAACAGCTACAACAACAACTACTACTACCATTAATACCACTACTACCACCACTACCACCACCACGACGACGACTACTACTACTACTACTGCTACTACTGCTACTGCTACTGCTACGGCTACTGCTACTGCTGCTACTACTACTACTACTACTACGACGACGACGACGACGACTGCAACCACCACAACAACAACAACTACAACTACAACAGCTACAACAACAACTACTACTACCATTAATACCACTACTACCACCACTACCACCACCACGACGACTACAACAACAACAACAACAACTACTACTACTGCTACTGCTACTGCTACTGCTACTGCTACTGCTACTGCTACTGCTACTACTACTACCCGCACCAGTACCACATCAGCAACAAAAACGACAGCGAGAGGAATAATACTAACCCTGGGTGTATCTTCAAAACCCTCAGGCCTTGAAAGACCACCAAATTTCATCCGCTGCTCCAAAGGAAGTGAGCCTCACAAAACAGGAGCCAAGCCGGCCATAAGGCCGCACATATCATAGGGACCCTTAGGGGGGTAGGGGGGTAGGGTTTGTTTTAGGGTTTAGGGTCTTAGGGGGTAGGGGACTATACTGCCTCAAATAGGCCCTATTAGGTCCTTAAACACGGCATCAAAGCCCCCTATCCCCCTAAGAGTCCTTTAAACAAATCGCCTCACGCTAGAAAGGCTTCGGCACTCTTGGACGGAACCAGCTAGAATAACGGTTTCGGCTTCAGATTCAGCGTTCGGAGGCCACACATAAATTTATCTGAACTAGTGTACGAACTCGCGAACATTGCGAAGGCTACTGTAGAGGATCACTCTTCGGAGAGATTGTTGTACCCGCATTTCAAGGCCTTTGTCAGAGGAATCGGCCGTGACCACGAATGCTCATACTAGTACATGCCAGGTGACTGGCTTCTAACATAGCGGGGCCTAAGAAAAAGAAAACATGGGCCAAGTGAATGCTGAAACTTCTTCCAAGGCCGCCTGTTCTCGAGTGAAGATGTCGTCAGTCACCATCACCTTACAAGGAACATGCCCAGATACGACCTTGAGCTCCGCGACAAGGTTTGCGCTGTCTGTAACAGGCGAAAGTGGATTCTCCTGTGATCTTTCCGGGTATGGCTCCTGTGCGCGATGGCTCGACTGCCGCGTTTCGACGCACAGGGGCTCCAAGAGCTCCGATAGCCTCTGCCAGACAAAACACCCGCCTCCCGACGCCCCCCCGGAACCCTCGACTAAGTGCGGAAGATGCAATGACGAGGTCCTCCACTGCAGAGAGCCACTCCGCCACTGAAAGAGCGATCATGCCTCAGCTTCTCTCTTCTTCAACAACCGGGCCCCAAAAAGTTCAAACTTTCAAAGATAGAGCTAACAGCTAATACATAAGACCAAAAAGTTTAAAGTTCCCCCGTTCACTATCTAAGGCTTCAGGAGCATCAGCGGCAGTGCTCGAGGCTCTTGCCATCATGCGCAGAAGCTTGGTGTACTGCGCCCTCAACGTTTTTACGTTAAACCCCGGTCCTAAAACCTAAACACCCAGACCCAAAAACGCTAAACCCTGAACCCTAAAACCCTAAAGACCTTCTGCTGCAGGAATTGTAAAACCCAATAAAACCCTAAACCCTCAAACCCCACCCAGACCCTAAAACCCTAAACCCTAAACCCTCAAACCCCTCAATTTGAGTCCCGGGGACCGCGGGGATCTTGGTGCTTGAACTGCGCCCTTGCGAAGGCCAAGGCCTCCCGCGGGGGCTTGTCCAAGAACCACCTGGCCCAGTCGCCCCCCCGTTGATGTTGGAGTTCAAGGCTGGGCTTAATAATAATAATAATAATAATAATAATAATAATAATGATAATGATGATAATGATAATGATAATAATAATAATATTAATAATAATAATAGTAATAATAATAATAAATAGGGTTTAAGGGTTTAGGGTTCAGGGCTTGGGGCAAGGACTTGATGGGTGGGACAAGGCTGTGTGCGAGAACTGCATTCAGGAAAATATGTCCTGCACGGTCTGGGGCAATGGCCACGGCTCGAGCCACTTACCGCTGAAGTGGAACCTAAGAATGAGCAGGCCAAACTGCAGCAGTGACTGCGGCGCTGCAACACTATCCATCAAAACAGCCGAGGGATGCGCTGTCAAGGTCCCTCCGAATCCAGCCCGTTTAAAACTTGCTATGCGCTGATGACTTCCGAGGTACAGCATGCCAGCTGAGTGCCATGCATCGCCACCCTCTCACGAAGTTCCTCCTGATCGGCTGTGGTCTTCAGCAAGAAGAAGGACCAAAAGAGGGCCAATCTACTGTTGCTTTGGCCACGACTACCAGTACTATTCTGATGAATCCGGCGGTCGTTTGTGTATTCAACCTCCGCACCGTTGTTAGTCTATTACTGTTACCGTCTTCCTGGCTATCTTCGGGCTAACGCTGCAGTAGGAAGCTTTTTGAAGGAACTCAATCTAGACTCGAGATAGACTTAAGGCCGTAAAATGCCGCTTGCAATTGCAGCCATACTGTTGCCCCTTCTCGATATCAACGGCAAGCTGCGGCACGGTGTTTGAACGCCGTTCATCGATAAGCAAACGAGCTGTCCCTTAGCTGTCCTCGCTCTCCCCGAGCTGCAGCCAATCTTTCGGCATCTCTTCTTCTGCCCTAACCACGAAGTGTCCGCGCCTTAGACTCTGCAGCATCATGGCAGATTGGCAGTGGAAGTGTTTTTTGTTCTGGAACTTTCGAAACGCCACGTTGCGGGTGCTAGGCAATGAACCTTCAAGTGCCCAGTGGCTAACTGCAGACTTAGGTGTTCGAGGTGTCCCGTTCGCTGATTAGCTCTTCAGCAAGGAGGGCTAGGCTTGGCAGCAGCGTGCTGCCTGAAATCCTGTCTTCGAGAGCCCTCCCAAGGGCCTGCTTGTGGCTGTCAGCATGATGGATGGCCTTGATTTCTCAAACCCTTTTCAGCACGGACTGAGGTGCCGGAACCCTAAACCCTAAACTCTAAACCTCGATGCCACTTGCCGGAGTGCGGGGCCAAAGCGGGAGGGGACGAGCGCAAACCCGACGATCCTATTACTGTCGGAGACTGGCCTCCCGCCCCTGATCTGGGAGCTTCCGAAAAGTAGGGGTACCTTATTTTGGGGTCCTTATAATGAGGATCCTACTGAGTCTACTGTTTAGGGTATACTATTTTAGGGTCCCCTAATTTCGGAAACTCCCATATGCTGAAAGAATAATTACGAGACAACTTCACGCCCCTTCCTGTGCCTCCCTCCCTCTCCCCGGCAGACACGGCTCCCTCCGCTCTGAACCTGCTGATGGGGCCCTGATGTGGAGACTGCTCTTCCGAAGCGTTTGCAATAACAGAATCCCAGCGGCGTGTCCATGTGGCGCAGAGGGTTCACCTGCCAGCAGAAGTCTGCGTAAACTAAAACGGGCCCCGTCGTTTATTTACTCCCGATTGAAATGTGAACTTGACGCCGGCTGTTTATCAGAAATGAACAATCCCACAGCTTCTAGAGCACACGCTTTCACTGCTAGAAGAAGAAGCCCCAGGGGCATGTGGGTGACTTCCGGACAGCAGTATGCTTGGCAACTGCTATGGCATCGAAGATGGGTACCTATCACTTCACTTCTATACCTGTCCTGTGCCCGCCTGACTGGGCACATAGGTTCTTATGGAGCTGCTCTCTTCGCACACGGACAGCTACACCATGCATCGCCCACCATGAATCAGGGCCTCAATTGGGGTGCTTCTGGGGAAAAGATCTAGGCTTTCAAGCAAAGCATGCTGCAGGCACTCTGTTCGAGAAGATCGTGCTGCGCTGGCCTCGCAGTTCCACTTGACTTCTATGTGTCGCCACACCGGCAGCTTCTTGACCAGGAAGTACCTGCACCAATTGGGGGCAACTAGCCCAGGCTCAGACGAGCAAAGCAGACGTCCTGGACCGAGCCAGCGCGAAAGGTAGGATCCAGTCTTTCGTACTCGTGAATCTGCAACCACTTGGAGGATCATGGGACTTAGTAAGTGGGGTTATAAATAAGGTAACTATACCCATAAGTACTGATAACCCCAATCAAGGCACTTATGACCCTACTTACTACCTGTAAGCCCTATGATCCCTTAAGCAGCTTTGCTTACAAGCGGTTGTTTTTCGCATTGCTGCCTGTCTGGGTACCCAGAGATCCCAATACCCCTTAATTAAGTAATATACCTTAAACCATAATTTTAAGACCCCTTTAGTGTAAGGTAGATTCCCTAATTTAAGGGATATTGGGATCTCTCTGGGTACAGGATCCCCGAGAACTCCTGCATGCTTACCCGGGGCTCCATTGAAAAACAGGACTCTGCACCATCTTTGGCCTAGGGCCTAGGGTTTAGGGGTTTAGGGTTTAGGGGTGTCATAAGGAGCCATGATATCAGGTCCATTCAAGTCCTTACTGGGGGTATGAAAGCCCTCTATCCGAACTCTAAAGCCCGAATCCAACTCCCGAAGCCCTAATCCCCAAGCCCTTACGGCCCTTACGAACTAAGCTCCGCGCTGCTCCGGCAAGTACGACTGGTCTCGCTCCTTGAGCTCACCCACCTGGCTGGAGATGGGCTTAGGCTGAGCCATAATGAGAGTTCCCGAAAATTAGGGGGTGCCGGTATTTTGGGATCCTTATAAGAAGGATCTTAATATTTAGGGTAGTATATTAGGGTGCCCTATTTTCAGAAACTCACATAATCTCGGAGGCCTGAAAAGGTGAAATGAAGATAGCCTTATACATGGTGCCCTATTTTCAGAAACTCACATAATCTCGGAGGCCTGAAAAGGTGAAATGAAGATAGCCTTATACATGGACTCGTATTTGGGACTACCCCACCTACCTTCATCCTACGAATTGAGGTTCCAGATACTCTGCCATACTACAACACCGTACTATTTAGGGTCTAGGACTTAAGAGACACTATCATATTCTGCGATAACACACCATAGTCTATTTTCCCAAAACAACGGTTTAGGGCATATATGTGTATATGTATATACACACACACACATCCAGTATCTGCTATACAAAAGCAGCATGGCATGAAATACGCTGCAACGGAGCTTGGTCCACTGCAGCTTGCCAGGCTCTTGAGAGGATTTGAATCTGTGCATGAAGGGATTTCGGGAGTTTTGGGACCACCCCTAAACCCTAAACCCCTAAACCCTAAACCCTAAACCCTAAACCCTAAACCCTAAACCCATCTTTTCGCTGTCTTTGTCCGAAGCAGAGCTGCGAGCTTTAGCCGGCGGCTTCGCAGGGGCCTTTCCTCCCATGCCGAAGCGTGGGTTTTAGGGTTTCCCTCTAGGTTTAGGGTTTTAGGGTTTAGGGTTTTGGGGTGTAGGGTTTTCGGGTTAAGGTTTAGGGTTGTTCTGGATTCAGGAGCTCTCATCCCCCTAATCCCTTTTCTCTAAACCCTTTTTGCATCCAGGCCTCTTCGAACTGCGGGTACCCTGAAAGCCTTAAGCACTATACCGGTTTAGGGCTTTTAGGGCCTAGGGTCTCTAAAACGGGGTTGTAGTTAAGGCCCGATGCATGTTGACTGCTGCATCGGTGTGTTTGCGACAGACCGGCAAAACTTCTTCCAGCATTTGGGTGGCAAAAGCGCCCGCATAGTAATAAGAAGGACTTGACTTCAATTCACAACCCCTCCTAACAAGCCCTACTTGTGTAGGGAGCTGTGTGGGCCCCGCTTGGCCGTGCGGATCCATTCGAAGAGGTTCGGAGCAACATTCAAAAGGAAGCTCGTCCAAGTCTCACATGCCTTTCCGCCTTCCAGATCCCGCAAGCATGCTTAAGAAAACGGTCCAATGTGCAGTCAAACGTACATTCCTGTAGCAGGGCCCCAAACAGCACATAAGCCAAAATAAGGATAGAGATATCCCATGACCATATATAAAGCCCCCTTCTAATGAAGCCCATGAAGGTAGGGCTATCCCTATAACATGCTTATGTCCTTTTTTGGTCCCTATAATGTAGGAGTACTTGACTAAACTGGCACGGTGCAGGGAGCGCTGGAACTGCGTAGTGGCGGTCATCGGCTAAGATAGTACTTGGAGGACCATGGGACTTGGGAAGAAAGGTTGTAATTTTGCCTCTTGTATGGCTGAGTTTAATTGGGTGTAGGGGGGTCGTCCACACTTACCAGGCATAATGCGCTCAGGCCGATCAACTCCTCAAGCAAGTGCTCCTTCGGAGGCTTCGAGCAAAGCTTAGCAGCTTAGCTGCACTTGTAGCTGAAATCCCTTTCTTTCACTATACTCTACACCATTATTTGCACGAGCTGAGGTGCCAGCACCTGTGCAACTCTCATCCCCTCTGAAGGCAAGACCTCCCTGAACCCTAAACCGTATACTCGAATACACCCCCCGAAACCCCTCTGAAGCCTGCTTCATGTTTACATCAGGTCAGCACTTGCCGAAGTGACCGTGTTCTCTGCTACAAAACCGAGCCGACGAGCGTCCTCAGAAGGCCGAGGGGATTTGCTAGTGTAGGGGTCTTAAGAGTTAGGATAGGGTTTTTGGTGTATATTATACTGTAATTATACCCAAATAGTATTGGCAATTAATTTAGGACCGTGTAGTATCTCTATCAATGTTTGTCTTCCATGTGCCTGAAGTTCGCCTCCACCGCATGCCAGACTTCTCCAAACTGCTTTGCTTTCGGACTATTTCCCTCTTGTCCTCTGCGGTCAGGGGCATCCGATCGACTCCTTGGTGACCGCGCTTCCTTGCCTGCGGCAAGGCTGCTGCAAGGTGCGGTGGCTTCACAAGGATGTTCCTTTTCCTATCGCCTAACGCGCAACATACTTTCTCATTTTTCTATACATACATATATATATATATATATATACAGTATATATAGTGTATATATATATATATATATATATACAAATTATATATATATATATGTATATATTATATATATACACATACCAGAAGATACTCTCTGGTCATCCGAGACATCAACTTGGCTTCCGCATGCTCGCGGCGCCAGTCCAAATGGGTGGGTGTCAAAATTAGGGTCCCTTTTTGGGTACCCTAAATAGCAGGTGCCGTATTATAATAGGGACCCAAAAAGGACCATAATGTTGACAACCACCCGAACAGGGTTTAAGGGTCTACGGCAACAAGTGCACTCATCTCGTGCCGAACCCAGCGATATGCACGCAGGGCACTTGGACTGGAAGCACTAATAAACTTGCAAGACCAATCATCCCCAAATCCCAATGCCAAAACGTGGAACCACCTCTGACAACCAGAACTTAGGGTAAGTACCCTAGCCCAAAAGCGGTTAACGTTTTGAGCTATAGTAGGATTATAAAAAGCCCAAAAGCTTAAAGGTTACGTACTCTGCACCCAAGAGAACATCCCAGAGAGCCCACTACCCCTTTAAGGAATATGGTTGAAATTATACGGGGCCTCATATTATGATTTAAGCTATATTCCTCAATTTAGGGGTATTGGGCTCTCTGGGATCAAAGTCCCTGAACCGTACCATCCGCCAAGTGGCACGTCTGGCCGGCTGCATAGCTGGTCCAAGACCTCCAAACGAACAAGGGTTTGCGCTCTCGCAACTCGGACACAGCCACCAGACGAGGTTCTTGGTGCGCAGTCGGACTATTGTGACAGGTTCTCCAAGTCAGGTTGTCTGAAATACCACAAAACGAAATAGGGATTAGGGTAGTTTAGGGGTTTAGTGGGCTTTTGGCCCTTGGGGCCAACGTGCTTCGCGATCTAGGTGTTTAAGTCTGGAGTCTGGGACTCAACAAGTGCCTGTTTCAAATTGTGCAGGCGTCGAAACGACAGGAGAAAGCTGGGAGAAGGGGAGGGCAATACCAGTTGCAATGTCACAGGCCAGCGGCCTTTGGTGGGATCATCGCATCGGTGAGCACTGCGTCCTGCAGGACCCGCACTCGCCCGCACCCATCACAGGAAAGCCTGAGCCCTCTGAAAAGCGGAAGGCGAGTACTGCCAAAACCTTCATGCATGAGCAATGTATGCGCTAGTGGCTAAACTACTGTGGATACAGTGCATCCGGCCTCTTCATGCGGACAGAATGCAACTTGCAACTGCGTATGCCGGACTGCAAGCCTTGCTTCATTTAAGTGAGTCGACCAAGATACTAAGCAAGGTGATCCTTCCTCGATTCCTCGACTTAGCCCGAGAAAAGACGCAATAATCAAAGCTATTTGCATGCGTCCCGCGTCGTCACCTGCACGATGCCACCGATATTGAAGAAATCAGAAACTCCAAAAACAGTCAGAGATCAAAGCATGAATCCGCCCCACACCTTCAGGCTCTTGACCTTCAGGATCGACTCGCTGAAGTAAGCACCTTCCAGGTTAGCCTTGGTCCAACACTGGAAGCAAAAGGGCTACGATTCTCATGACCTCGAAACTATAGGGCCCCGAAAAACTTACCTGTACTATTTTGGGGTTCCTTATTATAAATACAATATATGGGGCCCGCAAACCGTAGGAAAAAAATACTAAGGCCCCTATAGAACATCTTGCCTCGAGGGTTTGGGGAATTCGGCTTTAACTGTAGCAAAGCGTCCATGAATTTTTGAAGTGTCCATAATCAAGGTTTCGGCGCCCACACTCGGACAATCCAGGAGGGGCACATGGTTCGAAGTCTGTTGAGTGAGACTGTTCTAGTTAGGAGTGAGCGTTTAGCGTTTCTGCTCCACGGTTTAGGGTCACCCGCGGCTTAAGCCTGCAAGGAGAAGAGTCGAGGTGTCATTCATGACCAAGCGAGTCCAACCTTCCATACTGCTGTCCTTTAGGCTTTTGGCAGCCAGCAGGGAATTGCAAAGGTGTCGGTCCCACTACTATCTGTAAGATTTTCTCTTTGGACGACCGCCCGGACCCGGAATCCGGCTCGGCTGCTAGCATAGACATGTAGAAAAATCCAGCGCCAAATCCACAGAATGGAAAGTGTGAATCCTCTCTTCAGCTTGCACACCATGTCTTCCACCCGCCCCCCCCCCCCAAGCTCTGAACCCTACGCCCTAACCCTTCACCCTACAGGGAACTCCAGAAAGTTGGAATATGGTTTCATGGTAGGGTACCCTATAATTTACCATAGAAGGGTTCGGATAATCATATTCCAACTTTCTGGCTTTTACCGTATGGGCACAGAAGCAGCCCCGGAGTGAGGACGGGGAGCTCCCTCGAGGATCACGTCGTCGAGGTTCGCCATCTCCAGGCCCGCACCCGTCATGTCTGCCTGCTGAGCGCATTTTTTTTTGGGGGGGGGTTCCTCTTTGTAAGTAAATTATGGTATAATATATTGTAACCAATTATGGTATGATATATTATCATAACCAATTATGGTATAATACATCCCAAAACCCTATTCTAAGTACTGTATTATGGCCCATTTATTAGACTGAGTTGTCCTTTAAGCCCTTTGAAAATTATTTACTATTCTGGTCCCTACAAAATACTAGGGAAATTAAAAAAGATCCCAAAAGACAACCCAGTAGAAGAGTTGATCTCCTCGCTGCAACTTCCAAAGCTTATGACTTGCAGCTTCGCAAGGTGAACAGCTTC